GTTCATGGGGATTTCAAATGAATATTCATGACACACCAGATTTCATTTGATACGATTACATGCCGCTTTTTCAAAAATATATCTTGTCTTTGGACAGAAACAACATTGTAGTTGACGGGTGCATTACAGTGTCGTGTGGTGTGTCATCAGGAGTAACAATATGGATCATGACACATTTTTAGAATGATAATCTGTGCTAATAATGTGGAATGCTACAAAGAACGCTAATGTAGCCTCAATGCTAACATGTGGTTCCAACAAATAATATAATGGGTAAATCACACCCCATTGGGTGTTAATAATACTATACCAATGATATGGCACAAGATCTTTCCTGATTCTTTCCTACAGTGTTGAGTGTTCTTAAAACTATAGCTTTAATGTAAAACAAAGACATTGTAACATATATTGGCCTCAGCTATAGACCATGTGATGCACGAGTGTAACCGAGCGGCTGTGATGAGCTGCTGCATGACACCAATGAATCCCATTTGCACTGTTTTCACATTGAACGAGGCAGTCTTTAGTCAGTGTGTGGCAATTAGCTTCATCACAATATCTTCTTCTGTTCGCTGCTCTCAAATCTCTTCTCCTCATGACTCATTCTCTCTAAAATTATTTTTTTCATCTCCAGTCCCTCTCTGTCTTTTCCTGTGTGCGATTGGTAATCAGTCAGCTTAGCTCTTCATCTCAGTAAACACCATTAGCCCGGAAGGCCACAGCAGCCAATCAGAGGCAGCCGAGTACTCTGGTCGACCAATCGCACGGTGGAGCACAGAGTCCCTCGTGACATGCTGACCTGCTGCATGTCGGCGAGCGTTGCTATAGAAACCCTACTGTACAGAGAGGCAGCAGAGGAGCGAGGGAGGAAAGAGAGAGGTGGGAGGATGTAACAGGGACAAAAGCCAAGCAGCTATGATATTAGCGAGATATGATAAAACTATGGCAGCAGGTGCAGTTAGTGGGGACAGAGACGTAAGCCTCTGTGTGTTGGATCATGGCTGAATTAGAACAATATTTAGATACAGAGGCTAAAGTAACCCCCACAATTCTGAACTTTCAATGTTGATGGTGAGAAGTTACAATGAAGTTAAAATGTCATATGTAATTTTAAAGATAGTTTTCTCAAGAAAACAACCAAATTATCAAATTAATTGTAAACATTGAACCCAAAATACAAAATGAAAAATAATGATTTTCTGATCAGTCTAACAATCTTTTTCTATACCTTTGGTCCATGCAGGTTTGGTTCAATCCAATCATAACTGAACTCATGTTAAATAATAGTAATTCTTTGGCCAAAATATCCCCATAATGTAAAACTAAATTAATATAAAAAACAGCTCTTGCAAAATATGAGCTTCAAAGAACATCTTGTTTTGTGGAGCCAAATACAAAGAGCTTAATAATTTGGGCCCCTCTAGATTGTCGCCATGGTGTCGAAATAGAGTATTAAGATTATTAGTATTGGAAGCACATTTTTAACACTAGATTGAAATGGTTCCTCTGCCTTTGTATATTCTGTGATCAACTCAAGATAATCAAACAACAAAAATTAAACTGGAAAATTGAGCTTTAAAATGTTTGTCTGGAAATGTACTTTTATGGACAAACCATGTTTGTGGGTTGAAATGGATCATCAGTCCTGCTTCAAAGACGAGCAAATGGTCTGTAAAAACTAGGCCTGTCACAATAACTACTTTTATATAATATAGTAATATTGAAACAACTTAAAGCTACTGATGCAAGTACAATACAACAGCACAGTCCAAAAAATTCCAAATAAAAAAAATAGAATTTAGAAGAATACAACAAATATTCTCCACAAGAAAATGTGCAGATAATAAAATTTATACTGTATATTTATTTATACACATATATACAGTTAGCTTATATATAGAAACTCAAGAGCTTGTGAAGATATTGGCAGAAGATGAATGTGGGCTGAGCAACCCAAGGAAGAAGCCATTACTCCAAAAGAAGATTACATTTGTAAACACTCACAGCACAAAGACTGTCCACCTTTAGGTTGATTATTCGGCCAATGATTTGGAAAATGAAGTATTTCAAGGGAAAAACTGCTAAAATCAGAAGTTATGGAGAAAATTGGATAAAGATTTTTTTTTATTTACGATATTCCAGCCAATCAATAACATTTACAAATGTATCAATGCTTTATTAATATTGATTATTGTTGGTTTATAATTCTGTGCCTAAAGATTCTGTACAGAATAATCAGGCCCAGTTTAACTACATCCCTGGAACTGTTTGGCCAAAATGACTCCCAGCTCTGAAGCCTGTGGGTGGCTGTTTCGGCCTGTTTTGCTGTAGGTGGAACTAATACACTGGAACTAGAACAATTGGTAGAATTATTAAAAAATAATTTCCAAAACTTAAAAAAGATTTCCCATATGTACACTGAACCCAAGCATGCGCCTAAAGTAAAAAGTGACTTAAGAACAATAACGTTTTGGAGTAGCTCAATGGACAAACCAGACTCAGTTAAACTGACCTTTAGTCAGAAGAATGTGCCTGAATTCTAGCCAACTAGTTTAAGAAATAATAAAATACACCGCTCTCCGACATTGAGACCTTAGAAAACATTTTGATAGAAAATAACTGACTTGAAACAGTTTCATCTTTTTGTTTTTTTCACCACAAACAGTGAGATAAACAGACATTTCCAGTGGATGTAAGTGTTTGTTGGTTAAACAAACTGACTTTACAGAAGACTAATCAGCAGCGACCAAAGTACTCTCCTCTGCTGTCATTGGAGGAAAGCGCAAGGTTTATTTCCTTCCACGAGAAACATGTATTTTGAAGTAACGTGACCAACATGATCACACACACTTATTATAGAAACATGTATTTTCAGTTTGTACGAACAAATATGCATCTGTTGAAGATTTAAAACTGGAATTCTTAGGAGAATGAATTAAAAAGCAAAACAGTTATTGTAACAAAACAGTGATTCAGACAAACTTCACAAATGACTGAACATGTAATGTAATATGATAATCCGTATCCAGTTTGGTGATAACTATGAATCACTACTACTACTAATACATATACATACAATTGTATTCTTCTTATGTATTCTCCTTTCCATTCATGTAAATGTGACAATTCATGCATTGTAACTGCAAACTAAATTTATCATAGCGTGAACAATGACATGAATGAGCATTTTCATAAAAGGAACAAATAGATACAAAACATATTTTGGCTAAAACATCACTGGCAACGAGGATGTGACAATTCTAAGACCAACACCATGTCCCACGTCCGGTATCCCCATGATCGCATCCAACTCATCAATGAAACAATTAGTTCATTTATCCGTCATTCACTCGTCAGCTGCTTTGCCATCTGTACAATTTAGTTTTTCAGCAGCTTTGTCCTGAGACAACCCTTCAAACGTCGTCTACGACTGTGCACCTTATCAGGCCAGCTGTGCGTACGTGTGAGGTCCAAACAGACATGATCAAACTGCTGCTAGAAGAATTATATAACCGGGCTTTATCTTGTGCATTCTAGCCTCCGCTGTTTTGGAAGGAAATATGCTTTTTGGTGTCTGCAGCACTCACTAGAATCCATATAGTGTGGGATCCGTCTATGTGACCTGTGTTGATAAACTGAATGAGTGAACATCAGGAAAATACATAACTATAGTGGATTCAAATATTTTGGTTGATAGTTGGATTTAACATGGATCTATCTAATAACGGTCCATCCATGGAGGCATCAATACTGGTATCAAATATCTGTGCTGATCCAGGAGTCATTGTTGGATCGATTCGATAAATATCATGATTGGGATTTGAATTATGTAATAAACTATTTACTGGTTGATATTAATCCAGGATGGCAAAGAGTTCTATGAAATTGTTCTGTCAGTATTTGCAGGATAAATAACTTCAAAAACACAGCTGGTAATAAGTATTTTGATACTAATTCAGTAATTTCACTAGCATTAGCTACAGGCAGATATTGATAACAAAGTATTGAGATCAGAATTGTAAATTATAAAACTATCGGTGCATCGATGATCATGGACATTAATACAAATCTAAAATGGTATGAACTTTGGGCCATGGGTTTGGCATTGTACTCCACAGTGGGTCAAATCTATACAACATGAAAGTGCCTGTTGTGTAATTAGTTGCGCAATATGGACGGTAATTACTGTAACAATCTAATTTATTCAAATTCTGATAACCCTAAATCCCTATTATCGCTCTATCACTACATAGAAATGTATTTTATGCCCCTTTTAGCTGATTCATTCTTGGCGAGTCCACGATCGCCACTCTACCTGCCTCTACATGGAGTGGGCAAAAGCGATGACCAGAGCAGTTTACACAACGCCATGGTACAATACAAGTGTCACTCATTCTCCACCAACAAGTTGTCTCCTGCAGCTAAACTGTCACTCACTCATGTTTGTTTTGCACATTCACACATGCACCATGTCACACGCATGTAAACACCCACTCCACATCAGCCTTCCTCCCATTCTTTGGTTATTGACAGCCACTATTTCAGGTCAACAATATTACAAATAATAAGAATCATAAATGCACATCCTCCAGGTGGCTGGATTTAAAGTAGAGTCTAAACATTAACAAGGATTCACACTTGTCCAAATGTGCTTTTAAGTGTGCAACTAAACTTTGAGGTGTATGAAACACCTATAAACCCACTTGTCGAAGGTCTGTAAAAGCTAAATTACAAGCCAAGCTTGTATAGCTTCCTCTGCATTTTTCAGTGTCTCAAACATATTGAGTATTGTCAAACTGTGATCAATGTACTGTATGAATGCAACTAATTTGTCCCATTATTCATGATACTACACTACATTTTTGGCACTGAATTAGACACAAATGAATGAAAAAGAGGGGAAGCCTGTAAATTGGTGGAGCAATGACCTAAATGGGCGCTAACAGATTATACATATGCTAAAAGTGTATCAGGAAATGCAGGGTGCGTTGTGTCCTCACCTCCATCAGAGTAGGTCTCCGTCCCGTATCCGTCTTGCAGGCCGTTGCTCCATGTGCCCTCATACTTGCCGCTCGTGCCGGTGCTCTCGCGAAGACCGTAGCGTCCCTTAAAGCCATGAGTCCACTCGCCCTTGTACACCCAGCGGCCCTTGTTCTCCACTCCCACCCCATGTCTCTTGCCCTGAGCCCAGGTTCCTTGGTAAGTGTTCCCGCTGGGCCAAGTGTAGACTCCCAGCAGCTCAAATCCGTGGGCCCAGGACCCGCAGTACTCGCCCTGGCCTTTGGGTCCTGTACAAATGCCATGGCCATGCGCCTTGCCCTCTTCCCACCCTCCGCAGTATGACCCCCCATCATCAAAGTTGAACCTGCCGCCAGTGGACATGCATGAAATAGGTTTTGGCAATTCCCTTAAAGTCTCGACAAAAAGAAAAAGAAAAGAAAATGAAGGTAAAAAGACAAACAGGTTGGTGACAGTAGCGGTCCACGGAGCTCAGGTCTGATGTTGACGAGGTCACAGGTGAGGAGGAGGAGGTGGAGAGGGGAAGGGGAAGCTCTCCCTTCAGAAGAAGACCACCTCAGATATCAGGTGGTTTGACAGACAGCAAGAGGAAACAACGTGACAGAAAAAACCTGTTTACTGGTTTAGTTTAGTGCACTGTTCACACCATAATAGCTTCAGCTAGCACTTCCCAGCTGAAGAAGGCCCATCATCTTGTCTCATCAGGATGTCTTTAAAACAGGCAGTGGGTACAACCTGCCATGGAGCTGCCTACACTGTGTGTCAGGCCCCCGCACTCTGCCTCCTCCTACCTGATGATGCCTCCGTGTCTCTGGGGTGTAGCGCTCACAAGACTCCTCTCTGACAGCCCTCCAAGCCTCTAAAACAGTAGCTCTGAAGACGCCCTGGATCACGGACGCTGAAAGTCCAACTGCACCAAATCATTCCCATGAATTCATAGGTTTGTGATGAACAACTGTAGCGTGCTTGAACCTCCCTGGTAACGCTCCCCTGTCGCTGCGAAATGCACAAACAGAAATTTGGATAACAGATAAGGTAATCTGCTTGGCTGCCTTTTAGTCGGTCCTGTGGAGGAGGACGGCAATGCAGTCTCCTGCCATAGGCACACGCACACACAATACGCAGTCTCACTTACAGCAGTAGACAATGGAAATAAACAGATTCAATGATGATTTTCTTCAGGTCTCCATTGCCGCACACGTCTACAGGGCTTTAATCCACAGCATCCATAAGTGGTTTATTCTCTGTGTGGGCTGCAGAATAGCTGGTCTGTTGTCATCTATTAATCTTTATGGTCTGTGCAGTCTTCTTCAGCATGTCCTGGCGTTCTCCATGGTTCTGTTTTTTTGTTTTTTTTGCCTGGTCTTGGCGTTACAGGCTCTCTTCTCCTGCGCCCGGATCAGTGAGCTCTCTCTCACTCAGTGCATGTCTCTCTCTCTCTGAAATCTGCTCATTAGAGAGGACTGTTCCACTGCAGCCAACCCCCACCCTCAGCAGCCGCTCAATAGCACACTCCAGCTCTTAAAGAGATAGAACAGACATGGCTGATGCTCCCCATCACATGTGGAGGGAAACCAACGCAACCTGCTGAATACACACACAAATCACACCGCATTTTTTATTAACACAAGAATATGTGACACCTCTTTAGACATATTGTGAAAAAAAATCCTCTTTTGAGATTTTATTCACGTTACATCAAAAACATAAAAATAAAAATAAAATAAAAACAGAAGTGGAGTTGGTTTTAAATCCATCCAAGCGAGTCAGGAACGAACTGTGGCATGAACATGTGTAACCATTTAAAATATACAGTCTATGGTGTAACCCCACCCCTTCTGTCTAAAAGCTTCTCACACCTGTGATATGATTTCATTGTAACCCTATGACATCATGCTCAGAGTATTATTGACCCTACAATAGGTTAGCCAATTTCTCAAGTGAAATGCATCTTATCTCTTTCTTGCATTGTATGTTTGTAGCATAGGCCTGAGGACAGATGACGAAGCGAGACGGAAACACTTTATGCAGACATGGGAGGACCATGCAATCTCCACAGATGGGCTCTGTTGGTCTAGAGGTGGAATCGAACCTTGCACAAACTAATTTAGTGGTGCATAGTGGCTTCTTGGATTTTCGAGCTGTTTATCTCAAAATGTCTTCTCCAGAAAAAAAACATCTGTTATTCTTAGCGTATTCGTATGTCATTAAGTCTAGTAGTAAGTTGTAAGAAGATTTGAAGCATTACACCTATTTCGTATCTACCTAGTAAAAAACAGAAGAAACAAACCAGAGCAATGCATTTACTCTGAACATGATGATGATGATGATGCTACTTACCTGCAGACACCTGACGTGTGAGACGCGCTGAAAGAGCACGTGGTCATCATCACTTCCGGGTGTAGTCCCACGTGCCTCTGTTTACAGTCTGTCAGTGTGATTATGAGTGACGATCATGGATGCGTTATATTATCGGTGAGGATGTTAAGCCAATTGCAGAGCAGATTATCGTACTATCATCATCAGTTTTATAAAGACAGGATTGAGGTCTGTATCTCATTACTACAAAGGAAGTGTGGGCCTTTATCTGACCCTGTCTGTTATTCTGTTTCCCATTACAAGTTCACTTCATTTCAATATTATGCAACTGATGTGTGTATATATCCCATTAGCAACACCGAGGCCTCATCATTTGATTAAAAACAGAAAAAAAGAATACCACTGACCCTACACATGTTAGCTGTATTTTTTTATTGCATTTTTTATGTAAATTATATAGTTTCCAAATTTGACATGAATATTATATTTTTTTGCATAGAATTTCAAATCGACAAATGCAAATAAACTTGGTGTAATCTCATATTCTAAATACACTTAATCTGAAAGGGGTTTGGAACTACCAAACCAATTAAGGCTTTATAATTACTATTTTATGTACTGCAAAACTATATAGTTTGTTGTCCTTCATTTTTAGGAGCGTTTCAATTAGCCCCATGTCGATTGTGGCTGTGCAGCCATGATTTTAGTTAGTTTGTGGCATTTGCATCTATTGTGTGTCCTGTCCTGATGTGGCCTGTGTTTCAGTGTTTGCTGACCATCTGCTTTGTCTGAGTCGTGTCACTGCTCCAGATCGATCGATAGAAGGTCCTCCTCCGGTTGGCCATTATTTCAGAGGCGATTCATGCAACAGACTCTCAGCCTCCATCCGTGAATCACAGACTCCACAAAAGAAAGCAGGGTTCCGCGCTGCTGGCGACTATTTTAATTATCATTAGCTGAGATGGGCCACTATTAAACCCAAAACTCACAGGATCAACCATTTCAACAGATAATGCAAAGTAAAACATAACCAATTATTGATTATATTGATTCGATTTCTATACTCCATCTCTAGAAGCCCGCAGACCTTTGGTGAACAAGATGGGTGTCAAGATATTTTTTGGCACTTCCAATTGGTAGACTCTAGTTTGACGCACAAGTTAATTTGGAATTTTTGAATTTGATTTATTCAGAGGCCCTCCCTTATATGAATGGTTTGATGCATTCCCTGCACTGACGTATATATATCTCTGACGGCTATACTCTATGTCGTCAGCTGCCTTCTCCAAATAACAAAAATCTCTTGCGTTATTTATAAATTCTTGCCTTTTTTGCATGGCTGTTGAAATAAAAAGGGGTTTGCGACAAAAGAGGGAAGAGCCTCATTTTCATCCATCTCTGTTCCTCCTAAATTATTCATCTCGCTCTCTTCCCAGTTCGGCGTGCTGATGGGGGATAAAATGGGTCACCGAGGGAAAGGCTGCCTCCTGATGTCTTCCCTGACACACTCTGCCCAGCTTTCTCCTCCTCTGCTCTCCATACTCCACATTCTGTGATTCTGTTTTAGTTCCTTCAGCACTCACGCTTGTATCCTGCAGCTGATTCATAGATTTCTGTCTTTGATGAAGGGAAACAAGTGAATACACTTTCTTTAAGCCGACCTGGCTTCAGACGAATGTTTTTCAAATATGTTCTTACACAGTTTTGTTTTATTCCTGTTCTTGATTTTATTAGTCCTCTATCTCTAGGTTTCAGGGCTCCATCTTTTGTCTGTTTCACATCAAATCTCTGAAATAACTCTGGCGCCTGAAGGGTTAATAGAGACTGGAATATTGGTACCTTTTTTTTAATTGTAGCAATTATTGAAAACAAAGTACCATATTTACAGTTAACTCAATACAATCAAAGCAATTCAACCTCGCTGCACATGATAATATAAGGATGTGAGATTTTTCAACTTTCTCATTACATGACAATGGCACTTTTGAGGAACATTACAGTAAAAAACATGAATATGTTCTTATACAATTCTAAAAGTATTTTTTTGCAGTCATTACTGGTCTTCATAGAAGACTTTAGCCATGGCAACGGCTACTTTGGCCACCTTCTTGTCTTTTGCTTCAGGGCCCATGTTTGTTCGTGCCAGAGCCATCCAGTACTGCTCTGTTCGGGCCTGATAATCCGTCACCGTCTCCCCGTCCTGCACTGCGGGATGCTCCTCTTCATCTGAAAAAACACAATGAACAGATTTTTAAACATGGGTGACGTGGGGTAAAAGACAGGTATCATGATAAATATATTCTAATATATTATAGAATATATTATATATAATATATATTATATAAATATTAGATAAAATATATTAATAAATATTATATAAATATTATATAATAAATATATTAATAAATATATTATATTAGATAATAAATATATTAGATAAAAATATATATATATTAGATAAATATATTAGATAAATATATTAGATAAATATATCCTTGTCATTTGTGAAAAGTGCCGTGCCTTCCTCACTGTCCTCCTCAGACTCCTCTTCATCAGCAGCAGCCGCTCCTTTCACCTCCTCTTCTTCATCATCATCTTCAGACTCTGACTCTTCCAGCCACTCCTGTGTCTCTGTAGAGAAAAACCTCTCATTCTCAGCCACTTTAGTAACTACATTGATGCATAGACTTCCAAAACGTACTGGGGTCCATCTCCACCAGCACGTCCCACTGGTCCATCTTGTGAAGATCCAGAGAGTACATGTCATTGAGGGTGAACTGACGGTCTCCCACCTCAAACATCCCTCCGTACAGGAAGAGCTTGCCCTGACGCACTGTTGCCAAAGCACTGGACCTGGCACAGGGCTCGATCAACGGAGCAGAGGCCGCATCTGGAAGAGTAAAACAAGTGGTTAAAGAAAACGTTTGTTACTTAATTCTAAAAAGTTACTATTTGTTTTAACAATGGGTATTTGGGCAATAGTTACTGGGCAACAGGAGTATAAACAGAGCGTTCTTGTCCCATTTAAATGCCACACAATGCAAAGTCAATGGGAGTGAGGGTTAGATTTGTTAGATTAGATTACGGTTTGAATTCACATGTAGTATGTATTGTACCTTCTTCCTCCTCATCCTCCTCCTCCTCCTCTTCTTCCTCCTCCTCCTCCTCTTGTGCTCCGGGGAGAACCTCTTTAATGGTCATCACAGTCCCATCTTCAGTCACTATCTCTTTGATGACCTCAGTGGGGCCTTGAGTTGCTGTGTCCTCATCCTCCTCCTTTTCAAGTCCCTCTGCTCCACTTTTCTTTCCCCTTCGCCGCTTCTTCTTCTCCGTTTTGTTACCCTTAGAAATGAAATCAAATATGTGTGCGGAACAGAGTGAAAATCTAAAATAGAATTTGATAATAAAAGATTTAGTGAACAACAACGAACAACTGATCCATGGCCATCATATCTTACTGATGTAGTATTGGATGAGCGGTGTCTCGTGTAACAACTTCAGTCTAAACAATACTTGTTTAAAGCTGAGGTCTGTAACTTTAGTCTAAATCAGTGTTTTTCAACAACTGTGCCGCGTAGTGTGCCGTATGATATTGTCTGGTGTGCCGTAAGAAATTCGCCAACTTTGTCTAAAAATAACTGCATTCACTATTGACGAGCGCTGACTTGTCTTGAACTGTGGCGTACCCACGTAATCCTTGTTCATGTCAGTAGGTGGCAGCAGATAGCTAAGTACTCTGAAATTTAAGAATTGGATGCAACCACCAAATGTAACAAGTAGCAGGGTGGCGAGAAATGTAAGAATTGGACGCGACCAACCAATGAGGCAGTACGGAAAAGTAAGCAAATCTCCCATACCATCCACTAGTGGAAACGCAAAATAACCGTGCTGAAGCGTACTGTACTGTACAGTACTGATACTGTGGAAAAGCGGCAGCGGGGACAATTTTGGCAAGTGAGAAGTGAAAGTGATTGAGACGTTTTTGAAAAGGAATTATGCCATTTCTGAACAGGATTCACATCCTCCGCTCTGAACCCGGGGCAGCTGTGGCCCGTTTTGTACTGACAGCCGCTTTGACAAGAGCTCAGCGAACGCACATCTGTAACATGGTGCCACACGTTGCGGACAGAACCATCTGCGCGGTCCTTGACTCTTGTTCAGGACCATCTCGAGTCTCTTGCCGAAGCGCAAAACTCCTGAATTTAAAGCTCGGATACCTACATTTTTCCCATGCATTAAAAATGCATGTTATTTGTGCAAAAAGTAAAATGTTGTGAACAAATCAAACAGAACACACAGCAGGGCATTTTTGTATCATTATTTTTCATATATAAGAGCCCTCTGAGTCATTATTTGACTTTTTGGGCTGAGAGTGGATTTTTGTATGTTTTTTTTTCCCCACTTTTTTCCCAAACTCTTGTTAACTCATTGTATTGAGAAATATTAAACCAAGCTTAATGTCAAGGCCTGGATTTAAGCACTTTGATAAGAATGACTTTATATTGTAAATCGCTACAGAGTATATATTTTTACATTTTCTCCTGGTGGTGTGCCGCAAGATTTTTTCAATGAAAAAAGTGTGCGTTGGGTCAAAAAAGGTTGAAAAACATTGGTCTAAATAACACATGTTTAAAGCTCAGGTCTGTAACTTTAGTCTAAATAACACATGTTTAAAGCTGAGGTCTGTAACTCTAGTCTAAATAACACATGTTTAAAGCTGAGGTCTGTAACTTTAGTCTAAATAACACATGTTTAAAGCTGAGGTCTGTAACTTTAGTCTAAATAACACATGTTTAAAGCTCAGGAAATGTGCACCCGACTGCATTACTTATATGAAAAGTTCCAAATTGAACATACCCTGAGAATTCCTGGGAACCAGCGATTTTTCATTGTGTCGTACAGATACAAATCATTATAGAAGTCGCCCTCTAATGTCTCGTCTTCTTCCTCATCGCAGACCCCTCCAAAGAGCACTGCCCTCCCAGCAGGCCCCACTGCCATGGAGAAGCCGGAGCGAGCGGGGGGCTTGTTACCAGAGGGGCTGACCCGGGACCAGCACCACTTCTCTACAGACAAATACAGGAAACAAGATTTATTAATATTATTATATTATATTAATATCATTTCTCACATCCACATTCACAGCTTTAGCTCAAATGTTGGTTTTGTAATTGACTATGCCAGAGATTGTGCTACATTGTGACTGAACTTCATATGACCAGACATTAGATGAGAATAATACATGACATGGTTTGAATTGATAATGTAGGAAACATATGATTATGCTTTGCTGACTAAATGTTAATCATAGTTTTGTGCCGTTAATATTAAAGCTGGGTTACCTAGCTGCCTTCAAATTATTAGAAAACATGTCAGCTTTTGCAGGGAACAGAAACAGAAATAACCCTGAAAGTGACTATTTGACACTTTGGTCTGAAAGCTGATACATGTATGTGAAAACAAGGAGGAAGTTAAAATCACCAAACCTTCAACAAAGTAATAGAAGTGTAGTATATGTAGTAAAAGACATCATTAGCAGTTAAACTGTTATTTTGTTTACAAATAGCTTTAGCCTCGATCCGGAAGCGCTTCACTTTACATACCTTGAGCCTCTTTAGTATCTCGCTTTAGAATAAACATGTCTGAATGGATGGTCCCCTTCTCCACATCCTTCTTTACTCTCTAGAAACATTTCAAAAGTGGATCAATGCCAAGTTCAAACACCTCAAGATCTACAATTAGTATAAAAGAAAGACTATTACGTACCACTTTAGAGTATCCCCCATATATAATGACCCCTGAACCATCTGGTGTGGAAGTCATCTGACAGGCAGAGCGCGGCGAGGGGCCTGAACCCGACACAGACAGACGAGACCAGGCGAACGTCTCCAGGGAGAACGAGTACACGTCATTGTAGTAGATGAAGTCCCTAAAGAACAGAGACAAAACAGAGACAGACATTCCTTTGTCAGTGAAAAACAAATAGGTAAATCAGAAGTGAATTTACAACTGTTAGAAGAAGACACATACATGAAAACACAAGTGAACTGTTCATGGGAATGCTAAATTTTGAGAAAACTCCATGCTCTACTGTTGATGAATTGTATAACTCTGTCACCACCAGTGTTCTGACTGTTCTGGACGCCATTGCTCCTGTGACGGTTAAAATAGTTACCAGTAAGAAAAAGGCCCCATGGACTAAGGCAGACTCGGTTAGGGCACAGAAGCAAGAGTGCCGGAGGGCCGAACGGAAGTGGCGAAAGTCCAATTTCCAGGGCGATTATGAAATCTTTAAAGATGAGTTGGGTGAATTTAACCGGGTTCTACGTAGAACAAGAGAAATGTATTTTTCTGACATTATTGGAGGTTGCAGTAACAATTTTCGTGTTATGTTTTCAACAGTTGGTAGATTAACGAACCCCCCTGTAAAGTTGCCCCTAGAATTTTCCTCTAAATCTAGGTGTAATGAGTTCGCACAGTTTTTCGATGAGAAAGTACAAGGAATCAAAAACACTATCACCTCCACAGCACGTATAACAATGCAACAGCCAGAGAAGCTTTCTGAGCTAACTCACTTTGCACCTGTGGATACTGAAACTGTCAAAAAGATAATCATGAGTCTGAGCTCCTCCACATGTAGCCTGGATATATTGCCCTCTAAATTTCTGAAGTCCGTCCTGAGCAGTTTGTTACCTTCACTGACACAAATAGTAAACATGTCTCTGTCGTCAGGAACATTTCCTATGGCCCTAAAAACAGCAGTCATAAGACCTCTCCTAAAAAAGAGCAGTCTGGATCCTGCGGGACTTCAAAATTATCGCCCCATATCGAATCTGCCATTTATTGGAAAAATTCTTGAAAAAGTGGCCTCCCAACAACTTACTGAATTTTTAACAATGAATAATTCTTTTGATATGTTCCAGTCTGGGTTTAGACCCCACCACAGCACTGAGACCGCTCTAGTGAAGGTAACAAACGACATTCGACTTCACACTGATGCAGGTAAAGTCACAGTTTTGGTCATGTTAGATCTTAGTGCCGCGTTCGACACTGTCGACCATGAGATCCTCATGCAGAGACTGGAGGACTGGGCTGGTGTCACTGGCACAGCCCTAGACTGGTTTAGGTCTTACCTGGAGGATAGGAAGTACTCTGTGGAGATTGGAGACTGCGTCTCAGATGATGTGGCCCTGACCTGTGGTGTACCACAGGGGTCGATCCTGGGACCTCTCCTATTTAATCTCTACATGCTGCCGTTAGGTCAGTTAATACAAAGAAACAAAGTGTCCTACCACAATTACGCTGACGACACTCAGATCTATGTCTCACTGACTGCAGGAGAACATGGACCACTGGATTTGCTCCTTCACTGTATCCAACAGATCAGTGACTGGATGCAAAATAATTTCCTCCAGCTAAATACAGACAAAACCGAAATCATTGTCTTTGGTCCCCAGAAACAAAGAGAGGGCGTCATTTGTCAACTTCAGTCTCTCTCCCTACTTCCTTCAGACAAGGTCAGAAATTTGGGGGTAATACTGGACTCAGACCTAAATTTCAATAGCCACATAAAATCAATAACATCAACAGCTTTTTACCATCTGAAGAACATTGCCAAAGTTAGAAATATAGTGTCCAGGGCAGACTTGGAGATTCTTGTCCATGCATTTGTCTCCAGCAGGCTAGACTACTGCAATGGCCTGCTTACAGGTCTGTCCAAACAGACCTGTAAGCAGCTGCAGTACATCCAAAATGCAGCAGCTAGAGTCCTGACAGGAACCAGGAAGTATGACCATATTAGTCCGGTCCTCAGGTCTCTGCACTGGCTTCCTGTGGCTCAAAGAATAGATTTTAAAACGGCTCTGCTTGTGTACAAGTCTCTCCATGGCCTTGCACCAGAATACATTAGTGACATGTTGGTGTCATATGAACCAGCCCGGACTCTGAGGAGCACAGGGACTGGCCTCCTGCTGGTGCCCAGAGTGAGAACCAAACATGGGGAGGCTGCGTTTCAGATCCATGCAGCTAAGATCTGGAACAATCTCCCTGAAAATGTGAGGGAGGCGTCTACTCTGTCAATGTTCAAATCCAGGTTAAAGACTGTTCTGTTTGCCTGTGCATACAACTGAAGGATTTTATCTCCATTTTTAATGCACTGCTGTCATTTATTTATTTTTTTTAAATTTCTTGTGTAATTTTGAAAGTTTTAATGGTTTTATTCTTTTGTGTGATTTTAATGTTTTAATTGTGTTTTAATCTTTTGTGTGATTTTAATGTTTTAATTGTGATTCTGGTGTTTGTTTTATGTGATGATTTGTGATGTGGACTGTGAAGCGCTTTGTGTTGCCATGTGTATGAAAGGCGCTCTACAAATAAACCTTGATTGATTGATTGATTGATTGACTGTAACCTTCAGGCAAAGAAAAACCAAGCAAAAAAATCATGTCATAATGAAATCCTGAATTTTATATTTGCTCAGTATACAGTTAAAACAAATTCAGCGCTGAATATGTTTAAACATTGAGCTGATATTGTTACTTAATAATGTGGCACAGGTCAGCACTCCTGATTGTAGATATACACCATACAGCCATTAAAACCATATGTTTATGTGCAATTATACATATGATATCCTCCTCCAGGAAAGTACAAATCAGGATTATGGAAATGCAAGCATGCTCGAGCCGACACCCTTTTACTTTATATTTATATTACTTTATACACAGTAATAAAAACAACCCCTACAAAATATTTATGTCATTTTATATGATATTGCTCTTATTTGAGTTGACGGGTTTTATGGTCTTAAATACTTAAATCATTTTGTATAACTGTTTTTTTACTCACTCAATGCATGTCCAGCACTTGTTTATAATAAGTGCTATAAGTGGATGGGATTATGTTTTTGTGGAATTTTAATTCATGTTTCCAATAACCGTTTACCTGGTGCTTTCGTGGAATCCTCCAAAAACCAGCAGCTGTTTCTTACTCAGCACCATCCTGTGACCACTGCGTCCCGACGGACCTCCCGGAGCTCTAGGATCAAATTAAAAATGACAACGTATTTTGGAGATCACGGTAAAAATTCTACAAACTCTATGTTCATACTTAATGTTCTCCCAGGTATTTGTTGCTAGATGCAGAACCCACAGGTCTTTGTAATGGTAAAACTGTTCTCCGTTTGGCGACGCAAACTCTCCCCCAAATATCCAGAGCTGTCCCCCACCCTGAGGAACCACGACAGCCTGCAGAAAAATTAGTTTAGGAAAATGGACCATACATTTTGCATATAACAAACTGTAATTGCCCCAGGAAGAAACCCACAACCAGCCACCAACTAATTATTTGCATGCAGTAGACTGAATAGAGTAACTATTTGCATAATTCAGACAGTGTTATGTTCTTCCTTTAGAACTATCATAGAAATAGTGCCATATTTAAATTATTGGATCCAGATGAAATAACAAAAAGGAGTCCTTTTATTAAAACTGGTTATGGTGTGTCACTTTAGTCATTTTAGTCACTTTCAGCCCAGAGCCTCATGCCACTAACATGTACAGTAGTATTAATGTGAATATTTGAACCCTCGGAAATGACTTATTACTACAATAATCGAGTCTATTATAGATGGATCTATAGATTGATACTTTGGTTCATAAAAACAGATATTCAGAGTTAACTTAATCACTTAAACATGCAAGTATATGTTTCTTAGCACTACGTTTATACTTTGTTTATTTATTAAGCTATTTTTGTTTGTTTTTTAGAGTTGTGCCGTCGTTAATATTCACTTATCTGTCACCTGTGATGCAACACTGAAATTTCCCCACCGAGGGACGAATGGATATCTTAATGCAGACAAATATAGTAGTTATTGTTTGAGTTTGAGAAGCTGTTGCGTTCATTAAATGCCTACGGGGCTTGTTGAGATGCCCCTATATGAAAGTTGCTCCTGGACTCACATCCCTAATTTTACCCTAGCCTTACCCCATCCCTAATCCTAATCCTAACCATAGTGAATCAGGGATCCACGACGTATTAATGAGAGTTACCTGGTGGGCACATCGTGGAGGGGGAGGATTGGGGATGTCCGATTTTACCCAGGTATTCTTCTTGATGTTGTAGAAACACAAGTCATTGTACAAAAAGGTCTATAACAAAAACAAATACAGATTGGATATCACTTTAAATCACTTTAAGAAAAATGTAAAGTAAAGTATATTAGGCCACAGTACCTTTCTTCCATTAAAATATTCTCCTCCAAACAGTATGAGTTCATCCTTCTCTGGGTGAGCATTTAGCGATGCGTTAAGCCTATAAAAAGAGTATTACTACTGACCAGAATGGAATGTTCAAATTGGTTTGCTTATTTATACTCAAGTTAGTGTCTGAAATGGGTTTGTGGCCATGATGGGGGGGGGGGGGGGGGTTAGGAGGAACTTTCAATTCAAATCACAAAAAAACATGTAATTAATCTAACAAGTTCTTCACTCTCAAAACACTTAGGTAATAACACTAGTTTTCACATGCATGAACTTTGGGCCTCTGTCACAACTTTAGATCACCTTGTTCACACTATAACATGCTTGACTGAAGATAAAGATATAATGGCATGATGTAGATTTGTTTACAAAGTTAGGCTTTAGAGCGTGTCTGCTGTGTTACCTTGGTGATGGTGGTGGGCACGCTGTCTCTGACACCTGAGTTTTCTTTGCGTCGAGACTTTGAAACTCAGCAATAAGAGCTTCCAAGTCTTCCTGAATGCAGAAATATTGCGTATAACTCTAAAGCATCATAGAATTCAGATTCATTAAAACGCGTGACACTCGCCTCCTCTCGTTTGGACCTCTTGGACACTTTCTTCTCCATCTTGGCCGCTGTCTTTTCGGCCCCTTTCACTTTGCTTTCCTTTTTGTTCCCCTTCTTCCCCATGATTTCTGTTTAATTGATAAACTTTCGCACAGGGAGATTAGATAGCAAGCTGTTCATATGCAATTCACGTGGAGCCCAAAGAAACGCACGCTTCCCCCGTTTCCCTGTCATAGGGAAGCACTTCCGGCAACAAAAGAACTCCAGCTGAAAGTGGAATATCGCCCTCTACCGTCAGCGTCGAGTAACAACCATCAAACTGTATATACAAAAATATACACGATACCTACACTATAACGAATCATAATTGACTTTTGAGGCCATACTTGCGTGCCAAAGTCAGATTCCTTCAAACCTTTGAAGCTGTGCAGGGCAAGGCTTGGTTAGTGCTGTGATGGGAGACCGCTGGGAACACCAGGTGCAACAATGGGGCGGCTATGACTGTAAAGTACCAAATTGTCGTTGTGTCATTGGGCAAGACACTTCACCCATATTACTTAGAATGAGTCTGGTGTTTTTGTGAATGGTTGGTGGTGGACAAGGGGGCTGATTGGCAGATAATGGTTGCCTCGCTTCTGTCAGTATGTCCCAGGACAGTGGCTACATGATATCACCTCTGTGTATGGAGTGAATGAATGTGAAGGATCTTTAGATGTTGTAAAAAAAAAAAGCACTATAACACCAATGCATTATTATTATTATTAACCTACAATAATCTAATTAAAGATTCATCAGAGAGGTAAAACATTAATTATTGTTTCTGCTTATTTGTTTATTGGATGGGATGGGAAATACACCAAATAGTGAATAAAATGTACAGGCGATAAATATTGAGTCCAAGTACATTGTATGATCCATCAGTTATTGAACGATTATAAGTCAAAATCGAAATTTGTAGTAGTAGTAATAATCATAATCATAATCATAATAATAATTAATCAGATATAGATTGATTAAGAAGGTGAATGTATGAATGTAGCTGCAGCTGGATTTACCGAAAACAACCCATGGTATGCAACTGTAACCTTTAGTACATAATGTTTTTGTTCACTGGTGTAAAATGTATTTATAATGGTAGTGCTTACATTTTACATTTCACACTTGAACTCAGAGTTGTTTAACATGTGGTTTGGACACACGTGTGCTTATTCATCTTACACTGATGTGGAATGTCACAAAGAGAGTTTCACTGCCTCTAATGAATGTGAATAACAATAATAATAAAAGTGGCATCTCATTATAACATTTGTTACAGAGATATTCTACGTGACCTACTTCATTTAACAACCACTGAGATTTGTGTAAGCCATTGACACCAGTAGAGGGCAGCCCTGGTTTTTCTTCAGTTTCAGGCAGACATAATACTGATGTGTAATTGTATCCTTGCTACAAACACATACGTAGTTTTTGTCAGGTAATGAGGTAATTAGGTTTTGTGAGTTTATAGGCCCTTTATCCTTGTTCCTATTATCTCCATTACGCAAATATGTCTTATCTCTATTACTGAGGATATTAATTTTCCTTCCCATGGCATGTATACAGCGCTGGAATCAACACATGACTATGGTGCATGTGAGTATGGACCCCTCTCTGCTGACCGCAACCCCTGGAGCTCATAATTTTGCCTTCTCTATTGCAAAAAATGATAAAAGTTTTTTATCTTAATTTAACACATTCTGACTGTGTTAAAGCAAGATTTGCCAATGTGACAAAGCCTTTTAGTCTTATATCAAAAACTGTTGCTTTATTTTCTCATCCCAATGTCAGAAATTACTTTTTCTTTTTAAAACAAAATGATTTAGCGTGTTCTGTTGGCAAATCTTGTTTTAAGGCAGTCAAAATGTGCTCAATTTTGTTTTTCTTATTTTTCATAACTTTTTGCAGTGTGTCTCTGAATTGTGGACTTCTATATTTGTTATGTGTATGAATCAATAGTACTGACAGTGCTATGTGCCTGTTAGAATATAGTAAAACCACTTTTTATCAGTAGCACCCCAAGGTCTCAGTCACGGGCATCACACACTCCTCCCGCTGCTGGCATTTGGTGGGAAACATTAACATTTGTCTTTTCTTTTATCAAACATTCCCTTCTTTCTTTTCTTGAGTTTGAGTGAATTCCAGAGCTCTACCCCCACAATTAATTCTACAAGGACAAAGAGGTGTGTGAGATTTCCTCTGCAACTACTCTCGATGATTAGCAGCAGCTCAGGGAAGAACTGCTGTTAATCATAAAATAAACTCATATTTTTAGGCAAGGCAAGGCACGTTTATTAATATAGCAGTTCATACACAAGGCAACTCACAGTGCAAACAAAATCAGTTATTGCATTAGAATTAGAATTAAATAATCACAGTACATTAAAAAGAGTGACGATACAAACCTTCAGTTGTGTGCACAGCTAAACAGAACTGTTTCAACTTGTACAGAACTGCTCCCTTATATTAACTGCATAGGTCCATGGTCTTTGATACTGTACCATATCCACTCACTTCAAATGATAATAATAATAATACATCTTTATTTGTATTTTCAAAAACAGTGTTTACAATGTGGTGCACAGTCAGCATAAAGCAATAGAAACAGTCAATGAATCAGTAAAGTACGAACAGACAGTTATCTGAAGACCGTTTGATAAAAACGGGCTTTAAGAAGTGATGTAAAAGAGGGCACTGATGGTGCTAGTATTATCCCCTGAGGCAGGACGTTCCAGAGCCGAGGAGCCCGAGAAGACTCGGTCACCTTTCGTCTGGAGACTCGCCCTTGGTACAGTCAACAGGGGCCTTTGAGCCAGAAAGTCGTGGGTTCGATCCCATCACAAGACCTTCTCCACCTACTCCCACTGATGTCTGCTGACGTTGTGTCCTTGAGCAAGACACTTAATCCCACTTTACCTGAAGCCCCCGCTGAAAGATCAAGTATATGCTGTCACTCACCACCTGCAGGAGGATCAGTGAGAGGCTGGTGAATTAGGTGCAGCTCTGGCTGCCATCCCCCCAACCTAGAAATTGATTGGATGATATAGCTTAAACGAGCTTTAAAAGTAATCAGTAAAATCTTAAAATGCACAGGAAGCCAGTGGAGGGTGATGTGCTCCCTTCTATTATAACCAGTGAGAAGTCTGGCTTCCGTTGGAGGCGGGAGAGGAATTTGGAGTTGAGATTAGAGAGGCGGGAGTTACAGTATTCAAGGCGAGAGAAGATGAGGCCATTGACAATTTGTGAGAATGTTCTCATCTTTGAGATGGTGCAGGGGTGATAGAAACAGGATTAGGTGGTTTGTTTGACCTGGTTGCAGAATGTGAGGTGAGAGTCGCAGACGACACAGATCATGGGCAGAGGAAGTGATGTTTGATGATAGGGGGCCGAGGTGGGTTTGGATGTGGAGATGGCAAAAGTTATGACAGTGGCTCAGTGATGTCGTTTTAAGTTTTTTAGTGAAAAGCTGTTGTGTGCTTCTTGTTCACATTGTGGTTTCTGGTGCATTCACCATCAAACCCAGAAGTCTTGAGGGCGATAGATTAAATGCCACTCTCCATGCAGCTCGTGCTTGTACTTGAGGTGGATGAGAATGAATTAATAAAGCATAACACAATAAAAACAAACAATACTCTATTTGAGTCAAATGGTTCCAGACTTTGCCTGCAGCGTGTGTCAGTAAAGTGTGGTTGACTGAACAGGAGTCATGTGAGAGCGTGTGCCCGCCATAAGCCTCACCCCAGAGCACAGCTCCAGCAGCAGCTCTCTATCAAAAAATTTACATAAAACACAAATGATTTAACAATACCCTGCAATTGTTTAAGTGGAAAGAGGTGAAGTCATGTGTGACGGTATTTCTCCTCTAAAAACTCAGTGCACCTTCTCCTCTTCCTCGTCCACTCTCTGTCTTTGGTGTGAACTCGTTTGGTGGCATTACATGAAGAGCTCAGTAGATTGTTTGATTTAAAAAATAATGGTTGGTTCACCCTAGCCACCACAGAGTCCAGATAGCCCCCAATATTGTGTCAGTAATGGAGTTGGGATTAAATTCTGGATTCTACATAATGTCATACTTCTCCATCTTGAATTGAGCCGCTTATTGATCCAAATGGAACATTGACATTTTGTAAAATGCGTGCAGTCATTTGTGTTGATCCGATAACAGCTGTGCCCTGGAACACAGACAGAGGTGTAATGTGTTTATGAGTCAGAAATGCTGCGTCAATAACTGCGTCTAAACGTCTGCTCAACAACAAACAGCACAGACCGTGAGAGGTCCACAGAGGTGGCACTTTAAGAAAGGAAATTACCACCAGAGATGACAAAACAATCAGATCAAAAACATAAGAGAACTTTCATGAAATAAATTGTATCAATAAATCATGATCCAAAAACAGAAATAATACGTGCCATGGGCCTCATCTATCAAGTGCTTAATCATTTGTGAAAGTGATTAGCACTCATTAGTAAGTAAGTAAGTAATCTTTTTTTATATACCGCCTTTCACAGACCAGAGTCATAAAGCGGTTTACAATTGTTATTTTATGGGCACTTGTCCTCTCACTCCACACAGAGATGGGAGTAGGGGAAACCGAAGTACCCGGAGGAAACCTACGCAGACACGGGGAGAACATGCAAACTCCACTCAGAAAGGCCCTAGTCCGACCGGGATTTGAACCCAGGACCTTCTTGCTGAGAGGCGAGAGTGCTATCCACTCAGCCACCGTGCCGCCGAGTGCTGATGTCACCCGTAGTGTTTGCTGATTAGAGCTAAACTCAATCAGCTCCGTGGGCCAAATTTGTGGGTAGCAACAACCCAGCAACCAAAGAGCCAATCAGTGTCGCTCGTGATTGGCTCGGGTTGGATGAAACAACCCGCTCACACAACTCCCTAGCTGAAAACAAAATTTGGGGACAGAAGGCCCAAAATGGTGAATGTAACACATGTGATTATTGTTACAGAGCAAGTGAATGGAACCAAAGTCCATCCATCCATTTTCTTCCGCTTCATCCATTGCCGGGTCACGGGGGCAGCAGTCTAAGCAGAGACGCCCAGACTTCCCTATCCACACACACCTCCTCCAGCTCCTCCGGGGGACCCCAAGACGTTCCCAGGCCAGATGAGAGACATAGTCCCTCCAGTGAGTCTTGGGTCTTCCCCGGGGTGCCCGAAACACCTCCCGGAACCAAAGTGAGTCTGAGTAATATTTCACCCATGAGCAATTCCAAGTAGGCTTTAACAAACTTATGCCCATGTCCAAAAAAGTGCACATGCTAATTTATTTTCATCTTGAAACATTCTGTCTTGGGCCGATTTAGACTTCATAACAGCCCGAGCGAGACTTCGGGCTCATAAAGTATGAATTGGCCTTGTTGGTTTAAGAGTAACAAAAAGCAATGGGTATCTAAATAACAATTTTAATGTTAATGGAGTTACATTTTTGTGTATGTGTAACCATTTTCATTAAACATACACTGTACTTACACTATATATATACACACTCATTAAACATATTAGCTTATTTATCATTCTGAAATATTTAAATATATGTTTTTTTCATAGCTTTTTTCATAGGATGAAAATGACATTATCACATTATAATACTTGGACTCATAACTATCAATAAGAGTATTTCTGGGAACAACTAAAGTATGAATAATTAAGGAAATACACCTTCTTGTTCAGCAGAAAGAGCGTCCTTTACAATAATTAACAGTTCCTGAGTTTGCCCTTGTGAAAATAAACCACTCTGCAGCAATTTATTGTTACCATTGTATACATGCTTTTGAGGGGAAAGAACTATCCCGCCAAACCAAATAATGCAGCTGGAAAATACCAGTCTTGTATTAGGAATGATATTTATTTGAATGTCTTTTTAATCTAAAGCATTTTTTTCCAAATCCAAAGTGTCCAACATTCAAAGCCATCCTCATATTTGTGATCTACGTCTGTGCTTCCTGTCATCTCCTTTGAGCTTCTTCAAGCTGCACAAACAATGGATGAAAAAACACGCAGGAGGCGCTCCACCCACAGATCTGTGGAAGTTTCCTCATGTTTGATCACAGTTCTATCGGGGGAAGCCACGCTCTGGACACAGCAGATCCAACACAAAAGTGCAGAATTTGAAGTATAACTAAATGTTGAAGGCTTTTTTCCCTTCACCTTCATTAGATCTTCAGTTTAATTTTGGCATATTCTGAACAAATAAAAATAGATTTTATAAATTAAAATAGAATAGGTGGTAAAAAGTGGGATCAAAGTAAAAAATAGACAGAACCAAACCCCATACTTTTACTGACTGATCAATGATTGAGATCCACCTGCATGTGAAAGGAAGATCCTGTCAGACCTCTGAAGCTAAGCAGGACAGGGCCTGGCTAGTACTGTGATGAGAGACCTCTGGGAACATCAGATGCCACAGGGTGGCTGCTGCTGTAAGGTGCCAAACTGTTGTATCCTTCAGCAAGAGCCTCCTTGCCTAGAATGAGTCTGGTGTGTGTGGGTGTGTGGTAGAAAGTGGTGGTGATGATGGTCAGTGTGTCCCGGCGCAGCTGTGGCTACAGTAGAAGTTTATCACCACCTTGTATAGAGTGAATGAATAATGATATTGAAGTGTCCAAATAGGAGCTTTATCAAACTGATTCATTGTTGTTGTTGTTATTATTAGTATTAACAGTAATTGTAATCTCAATGGAGTATGAATGTGTTTGGAGCCTACAGATTGGTTCTGTAGGCTATCTCCTAAACATTGCCTCCTGAGTACTACCATAGTTGGACTTCCAAGAAGCAGTAGATCTACTCAAGATTAAAGAGACTTTTCTGTGTGTAAATCAAGAGTAAACCACCCCTTAAAAGAAACTACACTAGTTATTCTCAAAAGCTGACTCATATACACAACACTTTATGGGCCGGTTTCAAAGCTTCATATTATTACTGATAAATTATACCATGTTATTTTGTCCGTCTTGTAGATTATCTTTTTTTCTTTTCTTTTTAAACTCCTGGACTACACTGTTTCTCTTGAATGAAGGAATTAAGGTCCATCAAAAGAGGAAAATGTTTTTATGGTTGCATTTTCCTCTGCTTGATTCTCTTATCTGTGTCGGAGAAGCGACAACTTTGTAAAGTCCTCTGGGATATCGAGATAACTCCTGTTGTTATTTAGGGCTATACAAAAAAAGTGGATGGGATTTAAACATTGAATTACATGACCAATCCCTCTTATCCTATCCATAGTCAGGGAGGTGAGAGGAGGTGAGAGGAGATGTATATAATTAGTATTTCCAGGTGAATGAGGTTTCCCACGTGCTACAGTTTTAGGATCTTCTGTGATTCTGTTGAAGGAAGTCTGTGTACATAAAAATGGAACAGGGGTCAGTTCTACCGTCGCTGTGAAATGTTTCAGCATCTTCCAGTCTCACACAGCAGCTTTTGCAGTTTCCTCCAACACAACATCAGAGCGAGGGCAACGCGAGTTCACGATCAAAAGCTCATATCTGCTTTTATTTTGACAACATGCAAAAGTGTATAGACAGAGATGTTTTTGGTCATAAGAGATTAGGAATGATAACCCTTTTATTTAACTCAGTGTTAGCGGTTGTGTGATGCTTTGTGTTAAGTTATAGTCAATTAAACATGTCTTTTATTTTCAAATTTAACATAATTGAGACATGGAAAGAGCTCAAATGTACAGTGCATGCAAGGTGGCTCCAGTTTGGCAATACCCAATAACTTCTGTCTGCGCTCAAATCCTTTCAAACTAAATACAGGATACAGGAATACAGCAATCAGAGGCTTTGTGCGAATAAGAATGAGCAGACTTCTTGCAACAAAAGTACACGTTTCTATGTTAATATACTGTCTGAATCATTTGACCTTCATTTTGAAAACCTATTTTTTTTAAATCAGCTACCGGCCATGTCCAGTCTAAACTGTCAAAGCAGCTTTGACACGAGACTTAGTTTTAGCGGTGTGCTGTGAGGCAGGCCCCACTTCCCCACTCAGAAAACCCAGAATACCTGAGGGGATTAGCCCCTGTGGCAGCATTAGCTTCATCAGTATCCTAGGTTACAGCAACAGAACAATTTATTATATTTTATGTTAGCAGAATTTCATTTACAAACACTATTACACTCCCATTTCTTCACACTAATGCACAAATTATGTTCATAATGTTGGTGATCTGTACCAAACTATGTGGTGTCTTTTTGGAAATAGCAAAATTGTTAGTTTTTTTTTCATTTATGTTGCTGAGACAAATTTAACAAAATAAACATAAAATATGAGAAAACTACTATAAAACGCATAGAACACAAAGTGGAAAAAAATGATTTATTTGTAAAGCACTTCCATCAATGCCCTGTAAAGCAAAGGGACTACAAAACACAAAGCAATCTACAAATAAATAAATAAATGTAAGTGGCCTCGCCTTGTGCGACGGCTTCAGTGTTAGAAAAGATCTACCTCTAAAATGGCCTCCTTTGGCCTGCATGTTTCTATATACAGGACTGGATGACATTAGTCTTAGGTTATTACAGCAGTTGTGCGTAAAAGAAGTGGAGTGTTTATGTAAAACAAAAGACTATGATCAGTATTGTGCTGCGTCACCTGAACTCCATTTCCCCAAAGATGATTGTAACATTATCTCTGTGTACTTTCTCTGCAGTAAACTCAGTAACAACATTGTTCTGTGAAATCCTTAGATGACAGTAACAAGGGGCTGTTAGTTTACCTTTGGCCTGTGCCCAAACACATGTGTAGAGAGCCCCCCTCATTTGCAAATACCTTCAATAAACTGTGATGATGCTGAGCAGATTTCCACCCATTTACACGTGAGATTGTGTGTACTGTGGACAAATCAGTATTTCAAAACTCTAAGCCAGTTACCTACACAACTAAAGCTAATCCATACTCATAGGAATGTAACCATGGAACGGATAGTAAACGGGTGAAAACGACAGAAAAAGTCCCAAGACTGTGTTCATACAGCAGCACAGACAATGTGGCAAAAACAAAACTCACAAAGTGCTAAAACGTAGGTTAAGAGCAGTGATTGTAGAATTCAGAAAAGTCCTTTTTAAAGGATGAACAAGCCATCACCATAACAGCTGAACTCGGTTTGCTGCATAAGGCACAACTTGATAAATACAACAGGCTGCCCAAGCAGTCTTTACACAAAACTTATTCACAAAAAATACACTCAAAAATATCAAGAGAACTTTGTTGTACAAATACCTAAAAGTAATTAGAAAGACAATATGGAATGCACAACCTGTTATCAGCCCTGTGCAGACGGGCTCTGGGCTGAGCTGAGGTCATGCTTCATGAGTCTCTTCAGACCTGCAGTCTCTGACCGGGACACACCACACGTTAGGACTGAGGGACCACCTCCATCACCTTCTGAAACATGGCTGTGGTGGAAACTGAAAAGCAAAAACGACAATTTCAGCATCATTTTAGACGTTTAACAAAACAGCAAAATAACAGAAATAACAGAAAAATTTTGTGAATAAAAAAGGATTTTAAAATTCAGGTTAAAGCAACAAATAGATCTCTTCACTTCTCTTTGGGTGCATATTTGCCACAACAGCATCTCCTCTTCATATTAAAAGGTGCGACACCAACTGTCCTGGTGGCGGCCGCTTTAAGCTTGGGTTCATCTCAAGGTTTTTTCATTAAACTTGCTTTTTACATTTAAAACAAGCATGTGCCTTGATTAGGCAAAGGACAGTTGAGGACCTTTAAGAGAACAAACAATATCCATTTTGTTTATATCCACACTGGGCCTTTATACTCACAGATGGCGTTGAGCAGCCACTTGGGTTTGTTCTTCCACCACACTCCCAAAAAGTAAACCGGAAGACCAGTGGCGATGATTCCAAAGCCGATGGCACATTCTATCGGCGTCTTCCAAAACGATACAATAATGAGGAACAGACACGCCAACACAAAGGAGATTGGCAAGAGGATGTTCACCTGCGGGAGAAAAAAAAAAAAGATTGTTTATTGCCTTTGCAAGTAACAGGAAGTCACCAACTAGGCATTTGCTTTGACTCATGGTAAAAACAAGTTAAATGTAAAACACATATAAGGCATGCATACAAAAATCGTCATAAACTTTATAATATAACATTTATATTTACTCCATCTAATTTATTTACTATTGATAATGTGATATAATCAACTAGGCACAAAATTAATAATTTCATTAAAATATTGCTTTTTGGATTAAACAACCGTTTTCTAGTTCACACATACGGACGGGACAGAGCAAAACATCTGGATGAAAACCATCAGTATACTTTATTTTTTATTTATTTATTTATTTATTTGAATTAGGACAGTGCACATTAATCAACACGTCAGCCAAAAGCATCAATGTAAATGTACCAGAATTAGCGTGAGAGCTAAATTGCATCCGTTGTCCTATACGCTCCCCACTTTTAAATTAATATCAGTTACACAAATAAAACTGGTCATTCTTGAATGGAAACAGTTGCAAATTACCATCACTGCAACAAGCGACAACATTATTTCGTCCTTTTTGTCACAAATGTTGAATTTTAAGTTTGTTCCATTGGTAAATGTTGTTTGTGTCTTTTCAGTGCACTTGTCTGGTGCACACTGGGGACTTGTAAGTAAATGTTTTCCAATGTGTCTTTACTGCAAATGGCAAATGAAATGAATCTGAATCTGAATGCATTCTACAACTCAAATTGACTGGCAGCAGCTCTAAAGCACATTCTAATTCGCAAACACTTACTTTAATTGGCCGTTCGAGCTCAGGCTTCTTATAACGCAGCCACATCATTCCTACAATGGCCATGGCAATGCAGAGCCAGTTGAAGAAGCTGAAGAAGTTTATCACTGAGAAGATGTCATTGGAGAAGGCATACAGCAGGGTCATCAAACACTAGAGCCAGAGGAATCATAAAAGTGTTAGGAAAAACTTGCACAGGGCTTTTCCAGCGGATATAGTAAACAGTGACTTGTGCGTGAACGTACGGTGAATATAAGTGATGGCAGTGGGGTGAGGAGAGTGGGGTGGATCATGGAAAGCAGACTGGGCAGGTGACCTTCTCGAGAGCCCACAAAGAACAACCTGAGGACAGACACATGCCCGCTTAGGGAGAGTGTATAGATGTGAACAGAAAACTCAAAATAGTATCACTAAAACAAAAGTGAACCCAAAAATGCAGTATTTGGGGAAGCTACAGTGCGATATAACCTGCATATTTTGTGCTGTGGATCCCTGTTATATCTGTATTACTGATAAATCCGGTTATTTTATTCTGACCGTATTGTTCCTACAGTATCTATATCTTAAGCATGACTCATTTATATCTCAAGTTATGACATCTTCTGTTCTTATGCACATTGAGACAAATCATATAAAAAGCCTCGTCTCCTCTTGTTCGATCTGGAGGGATTCGAGAGTAAGGTTCAATCGCCGCCGCCTTGTCTTCATTACTCGACACTACAAGTAAAGTAAGATTAACTGTAGAAGAGTAACCATCACTGTTGAAAGTACATTTAATTAATTATTATTAATTATTTTGGTTGGTAGCTAAACCATGGTGTTGACTTAGTGAGACAGCCAATCGCACCGCAGAGTCATACAAGGCAAAGTGGGAGAAGTGTCTTGCCTGAAGACACAACAACAGCGAGCACCCATCCTAGTGCTAACCAGGCTTCAAGAAGATAGAATAGTGATTGTTTTAGTGCATTCTTGTCTTTAAAACAAGTGCTCTTCAAGAACCAGGTGCAAAAGAGAGGTTTCATCAGATTGAGCTCATGTCTTATTACCATTAGTATTACAGTATTGTCTCCAAAATGGTAACGGTAAATGAGCACTAACCAACTCTTAGTGGATAAATATTACGCGTGTCCCCAGATATTCTTCAGAGACAGACACCAGCCTCAAACCAACACTGCTCAAATGACCAGCTCAGACATATAGGAGTAAAAAGTCAATACTTTAACATTCTACAACATGTATGGACATTTTTCAACATGTGTTCTATATTCTTTATGTGTTTTAACTGTTGATTCTCTGATCTGTGTTGGTGATTTCAATGGTTTTGTTAAGTCTCTGAGATGACTTCTGTTACTATAGGGCTATACAAGAATACATTGTATTGTATTATAATTGTATTGTGTATACTGCTTATCTTTGCCTGGTCTCACCTTTTTGCATTGCAAGTGATGTGTGACCTTTGAGGTGCATTACTCTAGCAAAATAATCTTGATTTGAAGTAGAAAAACGTTTGAAAGGATTACCTAGAAGAGGTGAACAAGGAGCCATTGACCGATCCAAAGCAGGAGAGCCCCACAAACACTGGGATTATCCAGGACATGGGCCCGAGGTAGCAGTTCCCAAAGTCCTGTAAGAGGCATATGTTTAAAATACAGACAAGCGGAGTCATGTTTGTAGTTGTGTCGAGCACTGACCACAGCCACTGCCTCCGAGTTGAGCATCTGTTCTGGGGACAGGGTGGTGAAATAGGCCAGATTGGTGAGAACGTAGACAACGGTCACTATGGGCAACGAGATGATGATGGCGCGTGGAAGATTTCTAATGAATCAAATCAAAAATAGATCAAAGATTGCATCAAGTTTACGAAGCAATTTCAGACAATAAGGATGTTTACTTGTATGGCTCAATCATCTCCTCTGTGACAAAATTTAGGTAATTCCTAAAGATAAGGAAAAGTAAAAATTAGACAAGCAATTTATTATGCCTGTGTAAATCATGTTATGTTGCACTTACCAACCACCATATGCAAATAAACCGCTGTACAAGGCCAGACCAATACTGCCAAAATCATATTTAGAGCCTTGGAAGGAATTTTCTGGCAGCAGGTCATCAGTGCCACCTAGGAGGAAACAAAAGCAAGTGGGTTAGAAATCTTTTTGTCTGTTTGATAATGAAGACAGAGATACAGCATGTCGAAAAAAACAAAAGGATCAAGGATTTATTTTGTGCCTGGGGTACAATAGACTAGTGAATGAGACATCACTTAAGAGGAGCTGAAAAGCATTAGGACTTCTTGACCACGCCAGGGATTTATTATTTTATTTTTTGGGTAGGACTGATGAAGATCTACATTGCATTCCAATAGTATCTGCCCCCTGAAACATGCACCCGCATTCTCAGACACTTGGACGGTTGCTAAACCAACAGCCCAGGGCCCTGTTGGTACTGTAGAGTTATCTCTAAGCCCAGTGCAGCGTGGGAACAGTCCGCTAATGCACTGGACGACTGCCCGTCTATCTCCCTCCGCAGCGGCGACTAGAGATAGCCACCTGCATTAATGGGGCCCCAATTAAGAAATTACTCAGCAATAATGTATTGTGCTTCAGCTGTAATTCTTCAGGAAATATGACCCAAATTCTGAAGTGGTCATAATATATTATACTCTACAGTGAAGTCATGGGACTAAATGCCTTTACCACTGAAAAACCTCCTCTACTCAGTCCTTCATGTGAACAGCTGCCTCAGGAGTCACGTGATCAAATCTTTCCAGAACAAAGCCCCCCGTCCCCCTCCCCTTGTGCTGCCTCAGGTTGAATCCAGGTAACAGTGCATCTGTCCAAAATAGGGTTGGAACTACACATTTTAGGGCTGCAGTTAAGGATAATTTGACAATTGATTAGTTATGATTCATTAATAAGTTGTTACAATCCCAAAAGTCAGTGATTTTACAAAAAAAAAGTGATGTTGCTGGAGAACATCTTCATCAAAAAGATTTGTTACACATTAGGTTGCTTGATAAAAGATAACTTGTAAACTCTTTTTCCTTTTCCTTCTGTCTAAAGTTGTCACCCTCAGATTGAGAAAGCAGGGCTTTTCTGCAGCTAATCAGATTACAATGGACTCTAATCAGAGAGCAGCAGACTCACAAAAACGACCAGCAGATGCCTTTGGTGTTTTAGTATCTCACTTATTTATTATTATTATATATAATATATACATATATATATATATATATATATATATATATATATATAATATAATATACACATATATATATATATATATATATATATATATATATATATATATATATATATATATATATATATTTATATATATAATATAATATATATATAATATACACATATATATATATATATATATATATATATATATATATATATATATATATATATATATATAATATAATATAATATACACATATATATATATATATATATATATATATATATATATATATATTTTTTATATATATATATATATATATATATATATATATATATTTATTTATATATATTCAATACTATTCAATATGTTATTCAATGTCTTATTTTTTTTTATTTTATATTTTGTTTATTTTAATAGGATCTAAAATGTCCTGGATTAGCAAAACAGGATTCCATACCCCTTCAAGTACAATTATCATGAACCTGCAGTCGTCTAGAGCGCTGGGATTAGAGAAAATACTGATTACAAGTGTAAAGGCAAATACAAAGTGCCGGTGGACGGCACTCCAGTTTTAAGGGGAAGACAGACCCACACAAAGAGGAAATCCCCAACATTAGGGGGCTTACTTTAGATAAATGTTCAGCTCACAAGACATGTTTGCTATGACTCAAGAAAGATTAAGAACAAACAGGACTTTTTTTTGTTGAGGCGGGTTGAAAGTTTCTAATCGTCCAATCCTTTTTCAAAAACATGTGCATATATCTGTGTGGTTTTTTGTTCTATGAAATTATGTTGGTAAAGGTTATAAACTAAACATCTTGATTGTTAATAAACACCCCTCTCCAGATTATTTGTTCCAGATCCACAAACAAACCCAGCTCCTAACTGCTTTGCACCGTGTCGCCCACTTTCTGCTTCATCGTAGAGCACATATCATATTGAACAATTCTTCATGTACATCAACTTGAATGTTTAATAGACAGGAAGTAGGTCAGAGTGACGGCACATTTTTGTACCTTGTGTACGTCGACATTGATTGACATGCGCCAATGGATGTTTACTGATGCGTCAAATTCAATGGCTCTGAGCAAGCTACAATCACTGCATTTACACTGCTTTCAGAATCTCTCACACAATGAACCATAATTTCATGAAAAGTTACCAAAACATGTTGGTATCTGCTGAAGTATTAATATCAGATCTGAAATAATGCATAGTGTATAACTTACAAAGTGAGTGAGGCTTGTTTATATATAGTTTCACACCAAGTCGACGAAGAGCTCAAACAGCCCACTGGTAAATGTCTTTCTTCTCTGCTTCAAAACAATCTGAGCGAGTGTTTTGGTATTAGCCCAGCAGTCAGCTGATGTGGGACCTGTGGCCTCCACACAAATGGCCAGTCAGTTTGTAGGGCCTCAGATTTATGGCAAGAATGAATATAGAAAGGGGCTCTTTTAAACTGTCGTACCTATGTGACCAGCACTTCTTCTGTAATAAACTTAGCAATAAACTTTAGCAATAGAATAAAAACAGGCCCCAATAGATACAAATAAATATACAAAAATTGTGTGTATTTTTTATCTGCATCAGTGTACACAAGGGTAGTACTGCAACCCAAGATATAATAGTTTACAGCTTCAGGAAATTGAGACCTAAAAGGGAAAGTCATGTAGGTCAAGGTGTCAGCAGGCCATGTCGAGTCAGTGGAGAGGATAAAGATGCAGTGGAGGCGCACAGGTGCATCATGGGCCATAGGACTATAGCTGAATTGAATCTGCAGACATGTTACAGAATGAACATGATGCATTAAGTGTCTATCATACTCTAAACTGCTACTTCCAAGTCCCCAACATAATAAATGTAACAGACGTTTAGAAAGCCTTCAACCCTGGTCTTATCAGGACATTTAGCCACACACTCCTGGAGGATGAAGAGCGTCAGTGGACGGTTTACAAGGCACCTGAGGCCAGGCTTTAGAATACTCAAGAGATTTTTAACTAAATAATTTTCCTTATTGCAACTTAAAAGGGACAGTATGTTAATTATAAATTATATCTAGACATGTGTCCCCAGATAACAGGTCAACAAGCACAAATCATATTTTATATTTTCTGAACAAAGTTTAAAGTGGACTTGTTCATGATTTACGTCATTCACTTCACATGATGTCCATAATATTTATGTTTAAAATGTCCATACAGATTATTCAATCAGAGCGCAGAATGAAACTCTCATTGAGTTGCCAGTTTCTTGAAATGTTGCTGGTCTGGCTCAATATATTCATTTAGAACCAATTAAACTAAGATATACCGTTTCTATCTTAAACCCAGCTTTTTTTAGGAGTGACATGTCAGAGGCCGATGAGTCTAACAACAAAAGTTGAATTGTAATTGTAATTACTTTATTATTTCTTTATTTTTAGTGAGAGCACATATTACGTACAGTCACTTTAAGTCTGGTGTGCTCCAAGCCTATTTCAATCATTTTACTACAAGCAAAAAAAGTTATTGTTATCGTAACAAAAAACAGTCAGAATAAAATAGATGTAGAATATTTACCAAGGCCAATCTTCACAAATCCTATGATGATGATGAGAGCGAGGGCCAGGAGCTTGGCTGCAGCGAAGAAATCTTGTACTCTGGTAGCCGCCTTCACACTGTAGCAGTTCACAAAGGTCAGGAGCACTAGGAAAAATCAAACATTGTTAAATTTAAAAAGTAGTGCGTCTTTTCAGTTCTTTCCTCTTGCCAAAATCCCACTTTATCAAAACACATGTCGAGGATAGCCCTGAACCCTATTAGTAGTGATTAACTAAAGCATAAAGTCCCTTCAAAGCTCGTAAATTCGGCCAAGAGATGGGACAAAGCACAAAGAGGCACTGTGTTAATGAGGACTCCATACAGTAGAGGACCTCACATTGTGGGCCGTCTGTGTAAGCGAGGGCAGACCTACTCATGCATGGATGCACAATTCCCAGAGGAACAAATGCCTAATTTCTACACAGCCCAAAGAAATTACGTGTAAGCGGAGTATTGCCAAGCCCCCAGTGACCCGTCCCTGGTCATATACGCCCCTGTCATTCCACAGTGCGATGGGTAATCCGAAAGAGGCTCCATGTCCACCGCCTCGTCATGTGGGCCCAGTGAGGATTTAGTCCTCACTCAGTCTGGAGCTTAGTACCAGAGCTAAAACCTGCACTGTTATTGGCTCTTTCTAAAATACTAAATCTGAGGTAATCAAATCTGTTTGTGTTTATAATTTCCATAAACAGAAATATTCCTCTGAAACCATTAACACACTTTACACTTTCAGACAAAGTGCAGAAATTCAGAACTACTATGATAGCAAATATGAATAAGTATTGCAAGGAAAATATTAAAGAAAACTGCACCAATTTAGCAATTTATATAAAAATCTATCAATGTGGATTTCATTCTATTGGCGATATGGTCATTGTTTTGAAATGTGTTGCCAACCTTAATAATGCAATGAGAGCATCTCTTGCCTCCACATGGATGGAGAGCACAGGCTGCTCTCCATCCAATAGATGATTTAAAAATAGCACGTGGGCATTTTAACATAGAACAATAAAATATTCGGCAAAATAATTTAAAAATAAAAGAGTAAAGTAAACTAATTTCGACATGCATTTTGACACCTGGAAATAAATAATAAAGTGGTGAAGTAAATAATACTGTTTAACCGTGCGTGGCCTGTGATGGGCTGGCAAATAGACGCGGAAATCCTCCCTGACTCACGGAATGATGAAATAGCGCGGCATTTTGGCACGTCTGAGACCAGCACGTGTTTGCTTTACAACTCAAGCTCAAGTCAAATAACACATAAATCAACAAGCCCGCAGAGAAAATAACGCATATGGTGTGCTCTAATCATATACTCAACTTAATAAATCCCTATTCTGGTAGACATGATTGACTTTAAACCATGTTGCATCATCTTCCGCACTGGAGGAGGATGGATACTCACTGATACAAAGACATGCCACCAGTTTGGCTCCAGTCTCCGGGACGGGGCAGGATGGAAAGACTGGCTTCAGGAGGTACGTGGCAAAGACGTAGGCGACAATATACTGCGAGGACGGGCGTATGATGAGCAGCTCGATCCACAGCTTGAGGAAAGCCACCAGGGGTCCATACACCTCCAGGATGTAGGCATAGTCCCCTCCAGACTTCGTGATCGTGGTGCCCAGCTCGGCATAGCACAGCGCGCCCACTGTGGAGAACACCCCGCACACGGACCACACCACAAGGGACAAGCCCACGGACCCGGCTTCCTTCACTACTCCGGTGGGGGTGACGAAGATGCCCGAGCCGATGATGGTGCCCACGATGATGGCCACGCCGTTCAGCAGCGTGATGGTCCTCTTCAGCTCGACCCCCTGTCCTCCTCCTCCAGACACCGCTTTGCTCGAGTCATCTCCGGGGGACACCAGTGCTCCCGTCTCGGTGGAGTCCAAGGGGCTTCCAGGTGACAGCATCCTCTCCGTGACATGCTTGTCTTCCCCCTTGTCCACGGAGGAATTGGAGTTTCTCTTCTTTAACGCAGACATGTCGCTGTTGGCTGTGGGGCTTCCTTGTTGAGCGCAGTCGCCTCTTGGCCCCGGAGGCTGCTGTTCGCTTCCCGCCGGTCTACGGAGGAGTCCCGCACTTTGTCTGAGTCCGTGCGGCGTGGTACTATGCCTGGTACTCGTATTTAGATTCTGTCCAATGGATAAAACCCGTGCGACATCATCACTGAGCTGTACGTCAAAGCAGACCAGCCCCTTGCTTTGCGTCCGTACTTCGTGATTTACGTCAGCGAATTAGCGCCATCTACTGGTGGCAGATATGCAGCATCATCCTACTGTCTATTGTTATCCCTGATAAAGAGATTTCAACTAAAAAATATAAATGATCAAACTATTCTATACAGATACTTTCATATATGTTTAGAATTGTTTGATCCTTTATACTTTGATCATATAAATGATCAAAAAATGACAACCTCAAGAGATGTTGACATTTCATCATACTTTTTGTTTACTCAATTTTACAGACACGCCAAGCACACACAACATAGAACCTAAAACAAAAACAGTTAACAAATATATACAATTTGTTGATTTTAAGGTTCTCCTAATGGTTTTTAAATGTCTTAATGGTCTTGGGCCTTCTTATCTTTCAGATTTGCTTTTATCCTATGAACCCTCCCGGCCCCTGCGCTCCTCCGGCAGCAGACTCCTAACCATTCCAAAAGTCAGGACACACACTCACGGTGAGGCATCTTTCCAGCACTACGGCCCCCGTCTCTGGAACAGTCTGCCGGAGGAGCTCAGGGTCGCGGAGAACATTCATATTTTTAAAGCCAGGCTCAAGACACACCTTTTTAGATTAGCTTTTGATTAGTATTTATTAGTCCATTATTATATATTCTATTTATCTTTTATTATTAGTATTTATTAGTCCATTTTTATATATTCTATTTATCTTTTATTATTTATTATATTGCTATTGCTTTTATTCATGTTTTGTGTGATAGTTCCTTTCAGGCTCACATTTTAGTGTTTTACTTATTGTATTGTTTTTAGTATCACCAGTGTTTCCTCTGGAGGAGCTCTCTGCGCTGGGAGCGGTGGTTGGCTGTGGCTGTGGGGGTCGGACTCTTGGACCTGGTGGGTGCCCGGGGCCTCGGTTTTGGGTCTCCTCTGGGTCCTGTGTCGTCCCCTTTGGCTATGGGCGGCTCTCTGCTCCTGGCGCTGACGGCTCCTTGGATGGCGTTTCTTCAGCCGGTTGCATCTGAACCCTGCCAAGTCTCTTATCATCGTTTTATTGTTTTATCGGGCTGGGTGTGTGGGGGGGGGGGGGGGGGGGTGTTTGCTTGTGGTCTGGGGAGGAGCCATTTAGCTCCTACAAACGATTACTTTATGATAAATTATGTTTTGTGTTAAAGAGTGAAAATATAGATAGACAGATAAATCAGACTTTATCTTGACTTACACATACTTTTAGATTCACTGCTCAACGTGTAAACTCTAAAATCCATATTTTGATAGGTTTAACCTGACCTAGTCCTTACTGCAGTGTAACATGAACTATATGGGCTAGTGTTCATTTATAATTTGATACCAGCATCTTCCTTGAGACATTGTGTGTTGTTTACTACCCACAGTCCCACGTTATTGTTTGGAATGCTCCACAGAGGGCTTTACACCTGTGAACAGTCACCTCTGCATTTCTGATTAGATATGTTTGTAATATAGTCTGGAATCCCTGCTGTGAAAGCAGCCGTTTTAAACAGGTCTGATGTTAGTGCTTACGTAATTATAACGGACCGGTTTTGAGATATGGAGTCAAACCTGTTTGACGAGTGTCACCATGACCTTTTAAATAGCAGAAAATGGGAGCCATGAGCAGACGCGCCCCCAAATAAACCTGCAGCCAAACGACCAGAGGAACAAACTGATTTAGCTTCATACATTCAAACAAATATACAAAAAAGTATTATACGGCCAACACGTGATCTTATTTAACTTGCTGTTGAAACGTATCCAGTTTCATGAAGACACGCAGTACAATGATGATCCATTACAAGATTGTGAGCAAAACCACAGGAATTATGATCTGGTTAGACTGTTTTATGCCACACAATTAACCCTTTAGATGCCAGAGTTTTCAGAAATCTGATGTGAAATAGTTCCATAAAGAGATAAAGGGAAAGAAATGAAATACTACCAAATATCCATAACAGAAATAAATACATGAAAAAGATGTAAGAAATGCATAAATATGTTTGTGGGAGTACAGGTCGCTGGGAAGAAAGCATCCTGGATTCAGGAGCTCATGTGGCAATTCTTCTACTTCACCCCTCGTAAAACACCCACGGTTACAAATATGCAACATAAACTTCAACAATTATGGAAAAATAAGTATGACTTTTTGATATGTATGTATGTAAAAACCCAAGAACCCAAAGAAGCAAATATGCTACATTGCCAAATTTGGTAATTGATTGCTGCTTTCCAAAAATAGCACAGATATTTTTTATCCTGGGTACAACATGGTTAGGTTCAAAGTTAGACATAGGAGTAGCAAACATGTTTAACTGTAAGAATGTTGAGGACACCTATCGTAACAACTAATCTCTGGAAAAGAGCAGTATATAGAAGCATTCTCCTTGAGATGAGCATTCTTCATTTGCAACTGCTAAGAGCACCTCACGTTATTCAGCGCCACAGACGGACAATTTCCTGTGCTGAGACAAAGCGGATATAGTCAATATTCCTCTCTGACAAACCAGGGAGATTCAGGACCTTGTTTTCAGGTCAATCTTGGAGCCCTAAATAATTCCATAATCCTGTCTGCTCTGTTTGTCTCAGATATAAGCTGCAGACCCCCAGCAGATATGAGAACAAACAGCAAATAACGTATGCTAACGTATACTATTTTCAAGTTTGGGTAGAACTAATGACACATGTAGGGAGTTCCTTGGAAGCATAGAGGAGTATAAAGTTCAGGTCATTGAGATATTTCATGAATAAGATACATTTTACATGGCAATGTTGAGAGGAATGTCGTGAAAATGGCTGTTAATGTAAATAAAATAAAAAAAGATTATAATTTGTATCAATTGAAGCTGTTGTACCTAACTTTTATTTCTCAAAATAATGTTTTTCGTCACTAGCAGCACTCTACAATAGTCTTGTAAAAGAAAAATGTTGAATGTGAACAAATCAGACCATATACTGTCTCCATATCGTCAGAAAACTTATTATCTTTTGTAAACTTGTAAGAAAGAACCTTGTGAGTCCCTTTATGTCGCTTTGGGCTGAGAGCTGATTGGCTGAGTGAGGGTGGTCCTCTCTTTTTCAACTTTTTCTCTATACAAGCTGATACAGGCATGTCAAAACCAGTGATATAAACTGTTTTCAGAATGAGGAAATAGTTACATGGATTAGTCAGGGCGTTTATTTGTTGGCGTTTATTTGTGTGTGTTTTGAACAAGCCTCTTGGCACAGGTCGTATAATTGTATTGTTCAAACTCAAATACAAATACAATTGTAAACAGATTCTTGAAATGGCTGCAGTCTCCCACTATAAAGTTGACCTTGATGGAGAACAGAGACTTGGTGGGAACAGGTCAGGACCGTGACTCCAGGTGGGTGTGAGAGAGCTTCAGCCTGGGCAGCTGTTGTAACATGCACTTTGTCTTAGCTTTTTTTCTTCTATTAAACCCATGAAAGAAAAGACATTCATTTGAGGAAAAAAGAAAATGCTTGAGAAAATTATAATAGTAACCAACTTCAGCAAGTAACTTCTCAGAAAAGCTTGCATTTTAAATCAAGTGAGAGACTTCAGGGGCTAATGCATGTGCTGCCTGTTTATATATAATATATTATGATGTTTAGTTGTTTATATAAAAGGAACAGATCGTGACCAAACCATGACATTGTGGGTTTTAAAAGTGTGAACAATTAATCAATGGAAATATGAAAGTATAAGGCGTTTTACAGACGAGGTTCCCATTACGTCTTTGGTGGATCCTTATGTGCTTATAAAAAATTTCACACACGAATATAGATCTAGGCTGGAGAGCAGTCCTCCTTACCATGGAATATACACCAGCTCATTCACGTCGTCCAGCACCTGTGGACGTTTACACACAGTTCAAAGTGCAGGGGTCTCCAGTCAGTCTGCACAGGCCGGTACAATCAAGGGAAGCCCCCACAGAAGCACCACTGTGTCCTCCGGGGCACCTGCAGCGACCCACAATAAACAGCCTCAGATGGGCCGAGCGGGAGAGGTGGGACCGCCAGAGTAAACACCCCACCCGAGGCCCGCAAACCAGGGCGGGTATGAGGTTCCTAAACATCCCCTCTTCAAAGAGCGAGCAGAGCAGGGATTCTGGGACAACTGCTTTTCATTCATTCCTGGAGTAGGAGCTGGCAGGCTTTGGGAGTTGATTTAAACATTTGATGGGTTGGTACATTTCATACTTACAAACTGCAACAAAAAGCTTCAGTTAGTCTTGAATTTTATTTAGATTTGACTATATTTTGACCGTCTTAAAAAGAGAACGCCAATAAGACAAGCTGTTTTCCCCAACTGATAAATGTATGTTTTAAGCACATTTAAATTAATAATTAGTTTAGTTAGGGCGGCACGTGGCTGAGTGGATAGCACTCTCGCCTCTCAGAAAGAAGGTCCTGGGTTTGAATCCTGGTCGGAACAGGGTCTTTCTGAGTGGAGTTTGCATGTTCTCCCCATGCCTGCGTAGGTTTTCTCCAGGTACTCTGATTTCCCCTACCACTAAAAACATGCTCACTAGGTTAAATCCTTCAGCTCTGGTCCTGACCAAGCCGACAAACATCTGGAGATGGGTTCCTGGGCGCTGTACTATGGCGACCACTGCTCCTGATGTAAGCCTTAGTGGCATTAGGATGGGTCAAATGCAGAGGATTGAATTGCCCTTCAGGGATTAATAAAGTGCACCTTTAACTTTAATGTGTTTAAAGTGCACCTTTAACTTTAATGTGTTTGTACTTTAATGTGTTTGTACAATAAGGGGCGACAGTAGCTCAGTTGGTAGAGCATTGGCCTTCAGGCCTGAAGGTCGTGGGTTCATTTCCCACCTCTACACCTTCTCCACCGACTCCCACTGATGACTGCTGTCGTTGTGTCCTTGGGCAAGACACTTAACCCCACTTTGCCCAAAACCCCCACTGAAAGATCAAGGCTGTGCTCACACTCAGAGAGCAGCCGTCCTCCTGTGGACTCACCACCTGCAGAGGGTCAGTGAGGGGCTGGTGCTATGAGACTTGGGTGGCATCTCTGATTGCCACCCCCCTGACCCAGAAATGGATTAAAGGGTAGAAAATGGATGGATGGATGGATGGTGTTTGTACAAATGGATGTGTTTCTGCTGCTGGACACTTGAATTTATCCTACGTGGGCCAATTAAGTATCTATCTATATATATTTCATGGTAATGCATATATAGAGCACATGGCATTATTGATTTGTTTCATTTAGACTTTATTAATGATAGGTTAGTTTGCTTGGTACATGGTGATACTAAACTATTATTGTAGCAACGACTGACATTGTGAGGCTAACAATCTGAGACATCACCAACAGCAGTCTTTCACACACAGATCAGACTCACATGCGGACATGTGGGTGAAGTGTTTTGCTGAAGGACACAACAGAAGTTTGCCCCACTGTGTCAGCATGTGTTCCCAGAGGTCTCCTATCACAGTACTAACCAGGCCCAGGCCCAGGCCCTGCATTAGGCTTTCTGACAATGCTAAGTGCAAGGACTACAAGCTATTAACAGTTGGCTGAGGTATCTTGGTGGACTACGATGTTCGTGCCCTACTGAGAAAAGTACACTTATTAATCTTTAAAATATTACTAACAGAGCACCGTGGGGGTGTCAACAATGTGATATCACAAAGACTAACATTAACGTATATGTAGTGATATTTCAATCTAATATTCAAAAGTTAAAACAATCAAAAGGTCCCAATGCCTCAAATCAAACAGAGCCTAAATCTGAACTAAAACCAGCATATTGAGGTGAAAACACAAAGTTAAAGACAAAACATAACATGAATTTCAAAACTTTTATTTCCAAAATGTAAATGATAACGATTGAAACATGGCAGTGCAGTTAAACTGACTTTTTGTAACGATCCAGAAGGAGCAAAAGAGCAGAGCCTCAAACAGCGCTCCACATGTGAGGAATGTAGGCTGCTGCGTAACAAAAACAAACAGCTTTCAAATATGTAATGCATGGAAATATATGAGGAAACGCTCAAAGATGGAGGGAAGTGGAAACAGGGATTTGCACCTGCTAAAACACAAACAAGGGCAATAAATACAAGTCCAACAGCATGTGGTCTTCCCCAAGGCACATGAACTATGAAAAATATAAATGTCATGAAAAAAACAAGCACTGTCAGTAAGATAAAGGCAAAAAAAGTATGTCAGCTACAGTGCTCAAAATGGGGTTATATGTCATACAGTTTAATGTTTGGGGGAAAAAAAATCAACATACTCAAGAAATGGTCAGTTTTAAAAGTGTTTAAAGTGCTGATTTACAACAGAATCTACATGTATTACAGTAAGGGGGGACTTTGCTTCCATGTTTTTTACAAATAATATGTTTTGCTACACAGAAAACATACACATACTGGACTGAACATGTATTTTACAGCACAACTGGCCCCTCACTTCTTACTGCTGCACCTGCTGTTCTTTTCAAGGCGTTACAGTTATTGTATTCTGAGGCCCCAGGGTACAGAGAGGTCCCCCTGGACGTCCCACCGGGAGAGGCGAAGGGTGTGACCATTTCAAATGGAGATGAGATTCTTTCATTGTTGTTCAGGAATTCAAAAGACGACCATGACCTATACTGCCACCAGCCTGGAACATCTACAGTTTCATTTCATTCACAGGAATATTTATATTTTGTCCAAGAACATAAATCTAGTTTTAATTAATGATCAAAAGACATTCTAACAGTATTGTTTTAAACTGTGTTGCACCAGTGGGATAAGTGTTTACTATTAGATTATTATTAACCGTAGTAGTCATAATAGCTCATTTTATCTTAGCCAACACAATTATCCACAGTGTATGTCAAGACAAGACACACATATTTTAAAATCTTAAGTGATATTGCATAATCAAAATCCCCAAAAACTATATTCAGCATGCCAGTTACTTTAGATTTGCCAATGGGACAAGAAAAAACAAAATGTTTAAAGAAATGTCTCTCTTGGAATGAGAAAACAAAGCAACAGATTTTGAAATAACGCTAAATGGCTTTGTCCCATTGGCAAATCGTGACAACATCTTGTCAACAAATTAAGATAAAAAACACACAATTCAAGCACAATTATTACCTCATCTTTTACAATTTTTGTGTTAAATAAGTGTGTTAAAAACCAGTTTGCACCAATTACTGCAAACAGCAAGACCTTGTGCCTAAACCATTCATAAAGCAATACTCAAATACTCAAACACAGAGCTCCCTACACCTCCTTTTGTGCCTTTAGTGACTGGTGATACAACATGCTAACAGCAGCTTCTCCACCACAACTTTCCCAAAGATTAAATATTTACATATATATTATTTTCTCTATTATTATGTTCTTTTACATATAGTGTGAGTACCAGCAACATCTGATAAGCACCTGCAATTATTAGTCCTATAATGCCAACAGATTCATATAATGCTCTTGTGAACAGGCAAGTGCTCAGTAACACAATGGCACTTTTTAAGGCACTGAATGATTGAGGCCATTGTGAGTTTGCACCATGAAAGAGTGCAAGATGAGAAAACTATTCATTCATTCATTTACAAAGCAATCATATGGTACTGGGAAATGCATAAACAAAACACAATGTTGTTTTACCTGACTTTCCACATGTCATATGGTTCTATGACAGGGCTGACATTATCACGCTAATGTCAAATGCATTGTAATTGTCTGATAAGGCGAGTAATATATTATCTGTAAAATATACATTATTGCATCTTCCTTAGTCATAGGGTTATACTGTATAGCAGTGTCTCCCAAAGTGGGGTCCGCGGCCCCCTGGTGGGCCGCGAGGGTACTGCAGGGGGGCCGCGGGAGGTGATAAAAAAAATTAAAAAATAATATAATTATTTAATGTTAAATTTATAATGTTTTGTTTGTAATATTAAAATATTTGTGTTCATTATTTGACTTGAATAATCCACTGTAATCATTTTTGTATTACAATGTTTGTAGCAGAGGCTATTTCCCCAAAATAAAATAACCAGAAGAGCCTATTCTTAATGTTGTCTTCTTGGTTATTATTTTGGGGGGCCACGCAGACCCGTCAGATTTTTAAGGGGGCCTCGGTGTTACTGAGTTTGGGAATGGCTGCTGTATAGGATACACCACACATTTCACCACAGCATATGTTATTTCAAAACATTCTGTAAAAGTTTGAGGTTGTTGCAGTAACATATTAAAATCTCATGGGCTTGGTAAGAGACAGACAAATACATAACTGCACTTTAAAATCCTGTTGTATAGAATGGATACCTCAAAAATGTAAACAAACAAAAAAAATAGATAAAATCCTTTTAAAAATCAATTTATCACAGGAAGAGGTTTTCCATCACTAGGTGGATTTTAGAATGTATTTGGATTGTGCCAACTATGTTTTGAAATTTTAATTCTTCTCATTAAACCACTTGCTGTAAGTGCAAATGTGTTTTTGAATGCATCATGGTGACTCAAACAACATGTATAATTGAAGAGGCCAATTGCATTTAGTGTCATCCTGATCCTTTTTCATGCTAAAAACAAAGTGAAAGGAAAGCAGACTTGTGATTGAGATGAGCGACTTTCTGTGGTCCCGGCTGGCAGTGTGGTGGTCCGCGGGTCCGGGGTCAGTGGCTGTGCTCCTTCACCTCGTCCAGCGCGGAATCCTTGATGAACGGTGTGAAGGACGAGCGCACGGTCCGGCCCCGCAGCGGCTGAGTCTCCCTGAAGTTGTTCACCATGCTCTTCTGCACCTCCTCCTCTGCAGCCGTGAACAGCAGGCTCCGAAACACCGCCAGCTGCATCAGAGGAAAGAAGGCAACTATTACAAGATGTACTTTCCCTAATACCTCCAATAATAATCTCCATTCAAATGTAAGTAATTAGAATGGGTGTGGACAAGGTTAGGTTTGTCATGTACTGTTCTATTCAATTGTCCGTAGTTTCCGGGAACCATGCGGCCTATGTTGCGGTGTGGTAGAGTACCCTCCGGGGGCACAAATCTATCAGCTGTGGCTCATGCGGGGAAATACACAGGACTTTTATATGTGATTACTTTTGCTATTCTATTTCAATGTGGTTTTACTGAATCTGAATATGATTAAAGCTGTCGTTTGCTATCAGCTGTTGGTGATATTAAACATGAAAACTTTTGGCTTACATTCAAGTGCAGCGTATATGCAGACAAAATATACTTTATTTTATTAAGAGCTCGCAGTGACCTTTAAACAGACCTGATCATGGCTGACTTCGATGTGCTGCTTCATGACCATCCAGGTGACGGCCTCGGTGAGGGGGGGCGTGGTCAAAGAGCCGTGATACGTCCAGTACTCGGTGATATTGGGGGGAAGTAAACAGGCCGGGTCAAAGTGTGTGAACTCCACCACACTGTCCTGTGTCAAACCATTGCCAGACTGTTTACACTGAAGGCCCATATTTATTGTACACAACATTTAAAACACATTGTAATAGGTCAGGTGTATTATTCAGGAATTAAACCTTATTTGGAAAATAAATATAGTTAATTGCAAAAGGATTTGAATTGCAGTGTTCCTTATCACACTTCAAAATATTCATACAATTTTTATTTTGTTTTTATTCCATTCAAGTTTTTATTAGGACAATAGTAAATTGTACAATTGTACAACTCAACTTAAGTTCGTGTAAGCTCTTTAAACTACAAAATACCTTTTGGCTAAAGAAAAACAGTCTTATATTATTGTCATTTAAACATAATCTTAAAATGAATAACAAAAACAAACAAAAGACAAAACAAAATACATTAGAATACAGTGGCTACATTAGATATTTAGTTGAAATCAGATCTATGTGGATCAACAAACAGTTTGATGTTTATCTATATAGTTTTTTAAGAAACATTTAGTAGCATTGAACCAACTTCCCTAGAATTTGCAGGGGAAATAATTGGAAGCTGTAATCTATCATTTCTATAATCAACTGTTAATAACTCAAGACATAATGATGTCATAAAAAACTAAATTAATCATAAAAACATTAACTGTAATCTTATTCAATAAACTTGATAATGATCATGTTTATTAGCTCACATTCAAGCTGTGCGGTCTACAACAAGACAACAGAGGGCGCCCTTGTCATTCCTTTGTGTAAGTAGGGCCAACTAAATACTTAAAACTGTGCAAATGAAGAGGGAGTGAGAAATAAAGTTAAATATTCACCGAGAAAAACTTACCCTGTGTCGGATTGCTGGCAAGGCATCTACCAATTTTTGCAGCCCCTCGTGTCTCTTGCCGATCTTATGACACACACACACACACACACACACACACACACACACATTATTTTCATTGTACATGTGGAGATCAGTGGTGATTGTAGTAGTAAAGTGTAGGAGTGTCTTCTCGTCACCTTGAGAAAGACTCCGATAACAGCCAGTCCATTGTCTTCCACCAGAGCGTCCTCAAACTGACTGTACTTTTCTGCATTCCAGTGGACCAAGTGAAGCTGAGAAGATAAATGTTTTTTGTTTATCATAATTTAGTGTTCGGAGTCACCTAACAATTTCTTTTATAGCTAAAACAACTGCATATTTCTGAATTGGTCATTATTTATTTGTAAGATAGTATCCTTCTGTCAATAATCCATTTATTTATTTGCCATTTGCAGTAAAACCACATTGGAAAAACTGTGCAAGACTACCCCAGTGTGCAACAGATAGATAATATAGTACACACCAGAGCTCCTTCCACCATAAGTAAGTAAGTATCCATCCATCCATCCATCTTCTTCCCCTTAATCCATTTCTGGGTCGGGGGGGTGGCAGTCAGAGCTGCACCCAATTCACTTAGCACCAGCCCCTCACTGACCCTCTGCAGGTGGTGAGTCCGCAGGAGGACGGCTGCTCTGTCAGTGACAATACGGCCTTGATTTTTCAGTGGGGGCTTCAGGCAATGCAGGGTTAAGTGTCTTGCCCAAGGACACAACGACAGCAGTCATCAGTGGGAGTCGGTGGAGAAGGTCCCGTGGTGGGCTTGAACCCCCGACCTTCAGGCTCAAAGGCCAGTGCTCTACCAACTGAGCTACTGTCGTAAGTTGTAAGTAATCTTTATTTATATACCGCCTTTCACAGACCAGAGTCACAAAGCGGTTTACAATTGTTATTTTTGGGCATTTGTCTCTCACTCCACACAGAGATGGGAGCGGGGATCATAGCTTCATTAACCTCTGAATAATTATATAATAATGATAATATATAAACCTATAGATTGCTGTACCTCTGCTGGGAATAGCCTCCGGTCCACAGTGTGCTCGGACCCCCAGGAGTTGCATTCACCCCAGTGAAAGTGGAACTGACACAGCCTGAATGTTTCTTGAAGGGGGCCTCCTTTCAGTGCTGCAGAAAAAGAAATGAAAAAATGCGGTATTGTTATTAAAACGTAAAATCAGTCAAAACCAACCACACGCCAGGGTGTCACTGTCATTATTCATGGTACAGAACAAGGAAGTTCCTCAATAAAAGGTAGACAGTTGAACAATACAAGACAATACTGTCCTGTTTTGAAATAATATTACTCATTGGGCTCACACTATTTTAGGCTTTCCAGTATTGCTTCACTTTAAAGCCAATTGGATACTGGTCTTTTGGTTATTCGAGGCAGTGGTTCCTGACCTCTTCGCCCTGTAAACCCCTCTCCAGCGTAGACAGGGCATGAGTAAAAAAACTTGTTCATACCCAAGGGAGTCATAATTATTTTGATCATATTTAAACCAAATTATTACTTTTAGAACTTGAGTTTTAGATTTGTTTCTGAACAAAATTAGTACATGCATGGACTGATTAGAATATGTTAGTTTGCAATTACAAGCCTAAGTACTGTTACCCATTACATCATCTGTTCAATGTGCTTTGTGACCATTGACCGTAAATATTAACGGACGTACTCACGCCTATCTCCTCTGTTTTAACTAATGTGCCACAACTTCTGCGGTCTATGGGCAGTTTCAAAATGGCCGCGGGGGCTGGAAAATGTGAAAAAATGCCTCTGCGCATGCGTCAGCCGGCACCAGCTCCATTCATTTAAACGAGTGACTTCAAAAATTCCCCGCGAGTAAACTAGAGTGGTCCAAAAAAATTCACCCCCCTCAGCATTGACACACATGTGGAACGGAGCTTTGGGCCAAGAGCCAACTTTTGGACCATCCTGTAAAGGTGTTTTCGACAGGTAAGAAGATGCTATATGTTAGCATTGGCTAATTCTTAATCCGGGTCCACACCCCATCGGCCCGGGGTGGTATTGTCAGCGCACGTCATTTTAGCCACTTTTGAGCCTGTACCCGCCCCCAGTGGTTGCGAGTCTGTTCTGTGAAAGGCACTATATAAACAAAGATGACTTACATACTTACTTAATGTTGTATAATAAAGTCAATTGTGCAGTTGTTTTCTCAAGAGACCTAGCTTTAAAATGATTTATAACATGTCATGGAGGCCTAGATTCACCTCAATCTATATTCATTCTCTTCTCTCAGTTTTCAAGTTAATAATAATAATAATAGGAAATAATTTTGAGTGCAATACCCTGGTTAGAAAGCGGTCAATTGAGGCAAACAATTATTGAAAACTCCAACTAATCCTTACAATTCAATGGTGTATGGATTGATTGATTGGTTGATTGACACATCTATTTGTAAAGAAAACAAAAAAGATTCAATATTGATTTGTATTTTCTCAACAGTGATTTAGAACTGTTCACTGAATATAATGAAATATAAAACTGCACAGGTAAATGTGTCAGTCTTTAATTGTGAAATGACCACAAGTGTTGTAAAGTAATCAATGGCCCTGACCAAGGAAATAGTCTATAGGTCAGAGGGTCAGAGAAGCCACATGACAGTCAGCAGAGCCACGTGGAAAATGTGGTTTCTTTGGAACATTGATTATACAAATATTTTCACAGCTTGGACCTTATGGGAAAAAAAAACCCTGAAATAATCTTCTTGCAGAAACAATATCACTGAAGGATTGAGTTCGCTAAGAATGAAAAACGACCTTACATCAGGGAATGAAAACTAACCAAACCCACATAGAAAATAAACTTACTTGACTTGTCTGTGGAGTCATCATATTCAACCAGGAAAGAGTAACCATTGTTCCAGATTTGTTGGCAAGATTTGGGGTCGTAGTTGGTGACCAAAGGCTTCAATTTTGAGTCAAAAACACTCTTTCGAACCACGATATCGATGGGAGACTGGCAATCCCCTCCTGGTACGGCGAGCGGCCCCTGCCAAATGGGATGCACTAGACAAAACAAACAGGTGAAGGTAAGTCACACTGCAACAAACGTTTTCAAAAGCCATTCAAAAAGTTTAAAAGGGAAAACTAACAATTTCTGCAACGTTCCTCAATTTTCCTCGAGTTTAAACAGTCCATAATGGAAAAATATACACTACTGCTTTATTAAAAAACACAGGTCTCTTTCTGCGCAGTTTGAAAGAAGTTGCTGTGTAAGTAATGAGACTTCCTCCTTGATGTCTTAGTCCTTTTACCATGAAGGAAATTGCAAAAACACAAGCTGTGGGTTGGCTTTAGAGAAAATGACACATGGAATGTCCTGGCCCGCCCCCAACTCTCCTCCACAGCAGGACGACCGGACCAGGACCAGTATCAAAATACTTCCACAACACTCCACGTCTCCATGGACAAAAGCTCCTCATATGTATTACAGTTATAACTATAACAGTTATAGCTGTTTCTGGTGCAATGGTTTTCAAGTGTGAGAATTTGACCCTCATTCAACTTTGCTGATGTTAGCAAAACGGGCAGTGTTAAGTCTGCTTCAGCATCAGGGCAAAACAAGCTTTAAGGCATACTTAATGGATAATCTCTATGTGTGGTCATTATGACATAGATTTATGCCCAATTCAAACTTGAAACCACTTGATTTGTTCTATTTAAGTTGGAGTTGCTTTTATGAATATCTGCAGTTCATGGTCCAATACAATTTTACACTGCAGTAATGTAAATCTAAATTCCTGATATTTTAAATGAATCCATTTTGTGTACGCATCCTCCAAGTTTTGAAAACTTAAAAACTTTTTTTGTAAATCAATCCAGATTTAGTTTTACTGGGCATAAATTAAGTCTGTATGCGACAAAATCATACAAGAATAAATGTTACTCTGCACTCATATCGTGTACTTGACTAAATTCCTCTGTAACTGACAATTGAATAGTAGCTACAGGCCCTGCACTCGCACATCAGTCAAAATAAGAATAACAAACAAGAATACATCAGCCAATAAAGTCAATCAGGGAGACAAGTATAGTAAATGGTAAATGTTCTAACTCAGGGTTTCTCAAACTGGGGTACGCGTACCCCTAGTGGTACGCGGGCGCCCTCTAGGGGTACGCCAAAGAATTTGTGAGAAAAAAAAAAAAAAAAAAAAAAATTAATTTTACCAGGAAAGTCCCATTGAGATTAACTCATTGACAGCCATGGATGTCATTTGAGGACAACATTGTTTTTCAATCTTTTCCTGTCAGTCTGTGTCCCCTGGGGTTTGGCTGTAGACAGTATTTTATTAAGCCAGCAGGTGGCAGCAGAACTCCCTGGTTTGGTCAAAGATCACTCTGAGCACTCTGAGCAGGAGAGACAGAGGTGAAGCAGACATGGAGTAATATAGTCAGGGTCAGGCTACATTTGGAGGCAGTTTGAGCAGTAAATGTGTCTCCAGAGCTGACAGAGACCATGTGGAGGGTCCTAGCAGCAGACCATGTGGAGGGTCAGGACAGCAGACCAGTGGAGCACCTCAAAAAAGCCACAGAAAAGTGGACTATTGCTAAAATTATCACTGAGTCCACACCAGGAGCCAGCAGCAAAGTCCAGATATGGTCACAGCGCACGCCGGACTAAACAGACGCTCTGTAGATGTAACCACATAAAAACACACAAACGCGTGCATAAACGCACATACATGCACGCCCAAACACACAAAGACACACAGCAGTATTCTGTTGCACTTATACTATAAGTATAAGTATTCACTTTGATTTATTGTCATGTATAGTGTTTATCATTGTAATTTTGTTATTCTTTGATTTACTCTTATTGACATAAATATAGTGCCACCTAATGGATGAATACTGGCCATTCTATCTGGCATAGTTTGTCATGGGCTCTACTTTCAATATGTAAATTTGGACATTTTTTGGATGAGTACATTTTGAAATTTTTGAGCAACACTTTGTGGATGTGTGTGTGCCATAAAACTTATTATTTTACATTAAAAACACTTTCTCAAAACGTGTTGCTGTTTTCTAACATGTAAGATCCTGGACATGTTTGAGGAGATGCTAAAGTTAAACTAAATAGTTTTACGATCACTTTTCTGCAGGTTTGTCTGTTTTCACAAAAACCTCATTTTCTAATTTTTTTGTCTAAGACTGGTGCTTTTTGTCACACTCTCCTCTTTTCGACTGGAGATCACAGGAGAACGAAACAAACTAAGAACAAACTTCTTTTTACTGCTGAAAGTAGACAGTCCTGTCTTTCAGACTCTGGTTTCATATTTTTCATAGCACACAATATTCTGTGAGTCTTAAAAATCAGTGAAGTCATCAAAAAATGGCTGGCAGTCAATGAGAACCTCTTTTTCGTGTACAAAAATTACATAAAATTACAGATGATAAAACAGTCACATACAGATGATAAAATAGTCACATACAGATTATACAACAGTAACACACAATTTCATAAAATTACGGATTGTAAAAACAGTTACATTTCACTGAAGATGTCTCAATCTGGATCTAAAAGCATTCAAGGAAATAAGATCAGATCATTTCTAGTCTTTTTGCAACACGTTCCATGTAGAAGGAGCAGTTGTTTTTCCCAGTTCTGTGCAAAAGGAACAGAGAGCAACAAACGATCATTTGATCCAAACCATGAGAACATGTCTCTATGAGTAAACGACAGATGTCAGAGGGCAGCAGAGCAAGCCTTAGAAACTAAAGTGCACCAGTGTCCAAACCTTCTGTGGACAAAGATCCCACTCCAGAATATCACTCACAGTGAGGCTTTGCAGTTCGCAATGAATGAAACATTTAAAACAATTTTTTTCCCTATATTTAAGCGCAGTCTTACTGTTGAAACTGTGTAAAATATTACATTAAATATACTTCTTTAGGAATGAAACCTCTGCCTTGTTATTGATGAATACTTCAGCTTACTACGCTACTGTGTGGTGTGGTCATTTGTGGTGGTACTTGGAGAGGCAAGTATTTTCTGAGGGGGTACTTGGTGTGAAAAGTTTGAGAACCACTGTTCTAACTTATATATTTTCCTTTTCTAGGCACTCAAAGCGCTCACATCAAGGAACCAATCACCCATTCACTGACACATTCATACACCAATGTGCGCAGACACTGGGGTCGAGCTGGGTTAAGTGTGTTGCCCAAAGACACGACATCACCAATGGGAGCTGTTTTCACTGTTTTCACCAATCTCCAACCAATGATTATGTCGAGAGCAGGATTCAAACTGCCAGCCGTCAGCTCTGAGGACTCTCAATGCCGCCCAAGAATCAAGCTCAATACATTTTTACCAAATAGTGCCATTTGTGTTTAGAAACTTAAAGAAGCTATACCCGATTTTTTTTCTAAGTAGTTCATAAAAATGCTTTTTACTACATACAAGTTGTATCATAATACATCATTTAATTGAAAACTTGAGGTAATTGATTCAGCTGTGTAAGAATTACAAGCAGTGAAAAGTGCTGAGTAGAGTCTGAGCGGGCCGCTCTTTCTCCTCCGCTCACAGAACGAGCAGCGAACAGCCTGCGTCCTCTAGCCTCTACAGCGCTGCTTAACACCAGGGCTTCGACTTCAAAATTCGAATATAAATTCTAAAATAAAAAATGATGAACAAAATAATTGAATAAAAAAATGTGAACAAATATTAGACAACCCTTGTAATTCGAAATGTATTTAATGACTGCAAATAAAATAGTTAGCTCCCAAAGGTTTCACCAGGACGTGCTAGGCAGGTAACAGCTAAGCTAGCTAGTTGTTTCGTGGTAACTTCCGGGTTTTTCGCAATCGCTTTTTGTCACTTTGAAACAGTATTTTTGTTATGAAAACGTTAACAGCAAATTCTGAAATCATCCGTGCATGTGTGTTAAGGATGTATATGTGTACTGTATTGTCCGATTGACGTTTAATGGTGTTGATTGATAGATATGTAGTTGTTTATTGAGCGTGGCTAGCTCCGCTAGCTCCGTTGGCTTCTCTACACAGACGAGTGTGTAGTGACAGGTGCTGATAGCTTGTACTTGCGGAGTAATGGCAGTATTTTACACACCTGAATTACAAACAGAGGTTGCATTGGGGCTTCGGTCATTATTGGTTTGAGAGTTCTGTTATCAAGAAAAAAATATCGGAAGAATTGCTGCTGCTGCTTGAGGAGCTCTATAACAAATTATAATTCAATATTAGAATATATTCTAAGGTTTTAAATTAATACATTCGGACGCAAAACTAGCGGTATTCTTTTACTTATATATTGTGTTAGCAGTGCGTTGCTTTAGTGCCATTTCATCAGTGATTGTTGCACAGCTTACAAGAAGTTGCGCTAATGCTAATGTTAGCATATTTATCAGATCGCAAATAAAACTAGGTGGCTCTGTGTTATGAGAGCGTAGGGGAAATAAGAAGCCATTGAGCGAGTTGGGGGGCGGTGCTAAACATTCAAACATTGCAGAAACGGGTATAGCGCCTTTAATGACAGTAGGAATAGCATAATACATTTGGAATAGTTATTACAAAGAATTATAAATGTCCTTGTATTGTCTCATTATTACGGCCAACAAACGTGTGCCTCCATCCCTAAACAAACATGTAGTTGCAGAAGATGCAGAATAGATCTAGAAAGAAAAAAAATCTCAAGACAGTGTGACAGGATAAATAAACAATCAGGTCTATATACAGAAGTTTAACTTAACTATAGTGGGTGTAGTACTAACGTGTGTTACTCTAAATATTTCATTATAAGAGCTGTCAAACTGGTTTACCAGAGCACAAACAGACCAGGCTGAGCTATTTCATTGGGTTCCTATCGTGGCTTTTATGTGGGGCAAAGGCCATCGCATACAGGACAGGACTGTGGCAGAGAAACCCCGGAGACTCAGCTCAGCTCCGCTCCAGAAGAAGCTGTAATCCTGATCTAAATCCACTCCGGTCTTTGCAGGATTTCTCCTTCATGCTTCTCAGATGACAACAAAAGTGACCATAGCGTTGAGTCTACATGCTGCAGTGATCAAAGGCCCTAGAAGACTGTTGCATATTCCAAGTATCCTGGTCCTCATACACAGTAGACACAGTGAAGTGCACTCACCCTTGGACAGGACAAATTTGCTGGAGCACGCTGTGAGGTTACATCTCCGCACAGGGGTGATCCTGGGGCTCTTTATGGCCTGGACAAGATGCCGCTGAAGCTGTGAAGCCAGTGGCCTTATTATCGATGTCACCATGTCGAGAATTTAGCGGAAGACAAGTTTATGCCTCTGTTATTTCAATTGCAACGCCGCCCAGTCGTTCCTCGGTTGCTGTCGCTTTTGTAAAAACACAACTGAAGACACATTCCTCCCTCGGTCCTCCTCGGTCCTCCCCGGTCCTCCTCCTCCTCCTCCTCTGGCAAAGAGGCGGAGAAAAGCGGCCTTCACTTTACCGCGATGGTCTGTTGTTGGTTCCGATGAACGCGTAGATAAAGCCGAGAAACGATTAGAGATAAAGCGCTTGTTTACGAAACTGATGGCTCGACAGTTGACAGGAAGAAAGGGTCTGGGCAGTGACCAATCAGCGGCCAGGGTCTAGGGGCGGTATGATGACGAGCACTGAAGAAAACACGATTTCAAAATTATATATTTTACATCAGAATAATAATGCATGGTACTTATGTAGCACTCGAAAACTCAAGTTTTATTAATATACTCCGAACACGTAGGTGATAAATGGTTCCTGCTCTGTGGTCTATGTTCCATCGGGCCCTCATTCACGGACACTAGACCCTCAGTAGCGCCTAGTGCTCCCAGAAGTCTCCCATCCCAGTACAAGCCAGGCCCTACCCTTGAGATATGACTAGCTCAGACTGTGAAACGGGACAGAATAATTATAAAGTTAACTTTTATTTTTTTCAACAAATGTGTCCAATGAGCTCAAGGCTACACATGTCAGATCACAACAGTAAGAGCTGGAACAAAGTATGTTCAGATTGTGAAAAGAAAACACCAGTGTTATGTGAACAGTAAAAAATACTAAAGTTTAAACATTGCTGTTCCACAGGAGGCAGAAGTAGTTTAAAGTTTATGAATGCCTCTTACTTCATACAAAACCTTACCATCTATTGTTTTATGGTGTAACTTGCCAGATATTTTTATCATACAGACTTGTGCAGCACATAAAATACATAACGTTTATAAAACTTACAAAAAACACTCACTGTAACCATCAAGATAAGCACTTTATAGGGATTGAAATGCATAAAAGTAAAAAATGAACTAGCAAATCCTCAGACTATTTACAGCATTAAAGAAGAAAGAGGTGCTGTGAATGCATAAATTGGTCAGGGTGTTGGAAAAAACGGTCTAATAAATTGTTCTTCATAAATGTCTTGAGCCGCTGTGTCAAGATAGCTGCACGTTTAGTCCAGAGCAATAATATCGTCATCGTCATCCTCCTCAGTGGTCTGGTTTGTCCGTGGACGTTTGGCCGAGGCTTCTCCTGTCTCTGCGTCCGAGTGCTTCCTCTTATGGCTGGGCGTTTCTGCAGCGGAGCTCGAAGCTGCACCTTCATCATCAGAATCTACTATCATGAGGTCATCATCATCTGCAGGAGCTAAAAAGAGTAAAAATGGAAATTCAACTGACTGACATTTTTGCTTTTTCATATGTATGTATAGTCACACCACTGGAACAAAATGATCAGTACCACACTGACACGGACCTTTGGAGGAAGTGGACGGTTGGGCTGAATCCTTGTTGCCATTAGTGATACTTCCATCTTCTGGTTTCTTCTGTGGAGGCGGAGCTTTGTCAGGAGCCTCACCTACTACTTCAAATTCCACATCCCTCTCCAGTTCCTCACTGCCAATAACAAAACGAAGTCAGAAGATTGGAAGATTCCCAACTAAAAAAAAAAAGACAATAAAATAGTGGAAATAAAACGTAGACATACGTGTGTAAAACGTTCACAATGAGCGTGTAGTCTTGGAGGAAGTCGTCAGCCTGGAGTCGGGTTCCGTTGCGAATTCCAAAGTCGGAGAGAAATTTATTGTTGTTGGCTATAAAAAGTGAGTATTGCATAAATAAGCTTGAATGCGTTTTCAGACAAATTCAAAGAGTACAGATTTTGAGGTAAATGCAACACTACTTTAAAAGTTACCTTCAGTCTCCCCTTCCTCTGAGGAGATGAGGATGGTCCCTTTTCCATCTTCTATTTGAACATCCGGAGCCACCATCCCAAACCGCTCCTTTATGATCTAGAGAACAACATTTATGTAACGCAACGTTTTGTTGGTTTCTCAACAAGTTTCTATCAAATGAATTTACCCTATCCTGCAGTGAGATGACCATGGTTTTATTGACATTGACCTTGACCGTCACTTCAGGTTTGCTGGCACACACATAGCAGTTGGCACTTGGTGGGTCAAGCACACAAGGCACCAGCAACTTCTTCCTGAGGTTTGGAACCTTATTCAGGAAGATCTGAGAACCAAGAGAAAGATAAAAAACCAATTACCATAAGTTTCATAAAAGCAACATTTTAGTAATGTAGGCAGCTCACCGATCGACAAGACTCAATCTCACCAGACAAGATTTTGAGCCCCTCCAGCACAATTAGTCCTGCGATTACAGCATTGGTTGTAGCTATAGCTGGGATTATGTTACCAGCCATGGCTATCGAAAACACACACAAGTGTAAGTACAATGGGTTTATTAACTTTTGGTGTATGGCGTGGATTTTAATTAAACTTACACTTCACATCAAAACGACTCTTCATGTTCATGCTAAATATGTTCATTCGAAGATTTGCAGCAGCGGTAACAAAGTCCATAGCTGGTTGGTCGTCCTGTCAAAAAAAAAAAAAAAGTTAACAAAATTAAGTAATTCTTATTTTTTTATTTTGTTTTATTGCATTACCTTGTCCCACACGAGCTCTGCTCCATCTCCCCTCTCGTCCAGCTGCGTGCGAAGAGTTTCAACACTTTGTTGAAAAAGTTTACTGTATCCGTAAACACTCAGTACCTGCTGGTCCTTGAGACCTGCATTAGTCGACTCAGACTCTTTAGGAATTTCTGCACAAAAAAGGATATTTCATGGATTCAGAATTTATGAATTATGAATATTGTTGAGAAGCACTTAAAAAAATATTTTACATATCGCTCATACCATTTTTTTCGATTTTGTGCCAATCCAAAGGTGTAGGCGCTTTCCTCTTTTTCCACAGCTTATCCATAGTTAACAAGTAGTTGATGTCATCATTGAATAGCTACATTTAAACAGACAAAACAAAATTGACCAAAAAAAGTTAAATGGACATATTAATAATCATATTGTTAAGTATGTCAAAATTACAACAAAAAAAACACTACTCTTATACCATTAGATAAAGTTTTCCCCTGTACCTTGTTGAAAACTTTTACTGGGTCGTACCCAGTGGAACGGGCCCATTCCTTGGTGGATACACGTCTAATGTCCCCATCTTTTTCTGATGCTGTGGCACGAGCAGCTGCATCCGCACGATCCCCTTAGAAAGGAATATATCGTAATAAATGTCTTCATATGCAAATTATATAATCAGAATCAGAATCATTTTTATTGCCACGTAAGTAACAGGAGGTCACAGACTAGGAAATTGCTTTAAATTAAAACGATACACTTGACACGGATGAATGTATCTTTAAAAGTATAAAAATGGAGAAGTTATAGTGGTTCTCACATGCAGCTTCAGGATCTGCAGTGTCTGGAGAAACTTCCTGATCAGCATCCTCTTCCCCAAAAAGCTGACTGAGATACAAGAACACAAAATATTTTTTCATTCTAAATTAAATTTTTGTAAATATTTTATCTAAAGGCCTACTTACTTAAAGAGATATTTGGCCCATACAATACAGTGGATCGGCTCAGATGGTGTATTCCTTATGGTACATCCTGGAAATGTCTTTTGAGTAGGCTTGGGCTGACACTCGTAGCACTCAGTTAGTCCCTGAATTAAAAAAACAAAACAATTTATACCATCATCTGCAATACGTTTTTGTAAATACTATATTTTAATCTACCTTTTTGATGACTGAGACTTGTCCAAGATATCCTGCAGAGCCACTCTCTATGAGGGGGATATCTGCTGCCAAGCACATTCTATTCACATGGTTTCGAGCCGCTGATTAACAGAAATGAATAGATTTAATCAGTGGTTAAGAATCTGCTAATGCAGTTGATTCATATTTATTATACTGTACCTCTGTTGTCTAAGGCATTCATGACCAGCATAAACTTTCGGAAGAATTCAACATTGTAGTCAGGGCTGAAGGGAATAAAACTTGTTTATAACGTTTCAATCTTTAATTAGACACATTTATGTTAAATGATTCAAAAAAAATAAATGAGTACTTCATGACGCTGTCATGGTAGGCAACAATATTAGCAGATGGACAAAACTGCAACGCACTCTCTTTAGCCACCTACAAAACAAATGTATAATTGTTATTCTTGTAAGTAAGGAAGTGATCAGTCATTCGGGCACAAACCTGAGATTTAGACTTTCCCACATGTTTCTTTTGAAAAAGAAACTGGCGGTTGAGGTTACTGACATCGATTGTGTCCAGGTCGATCTGAAGATAAATAGGTAAAGAGTGGGCAAGGTTCAAAATGAGAAAAAGGATTGAATGAACATAATGACGGCAGAGCAAATAAATAAAATAAGATATGTACGATTCAAAATATTGTTGTTTCAATAAAATAATGTTGATAGTTAAGAATAATTTATCTTAGTACAGTACTGTACTAAAATAAATTATCCTTAACTATCAAGTCTCCATCCATGTTGTAAATGGACAGTATTAGTCCATCATTGTGACTACTAGATCCAGAGGGGACCTAATAGATTACAATTATTATGCAATTACATATATTAGATACATAACTTTTCAACAATGACGAAGTGTTTTACTGAATTGTTTTATTAGGAAGGCTTGCGAGTGGCGCCAAAATCGTGGCTCATCGTGGCTCATCGTGAGGATAAATGCACACATATTTAAGAAAATCATGTTTATTATTGCCAGCTACATTTATAGAGGAATATCCACTTCTATCATTGAGTCGATCAAAAGTACTCTGTACCACACAAAGAAATAGCATGCTAGTCTATGATGCTAGCAACACGGCTAACACACCAACAACACCAGCACAATGCTACTGACCACTTCAATGTTTTTGAAGCCGGAGAGGACGAGGTTTTTCAGCAGCTCGCAGCCGATTCCTCCTGCCCCTACAACCAGCACCTTGCAGCTGGAGAGGGTCTCGGCCAGCTCTTTGCGCAGGGGACCCACAAGTTGGACCATATTGACCGGCTTTAGAGAGTGCACCGGCGCTAGCGGGTTAGCTCTGTTAGCTTCTTTTTCAGAGCCGAGGTGGCCGCCCACAGACCGCCCATTCTAGGGATGGACTATTCTTTTCTTCATGCAACTTTTGGACGATCGGTGTTATGTATATCGCACCGAGTGCCTCCCTGCGGTCTCACGAGTGCATCTTATGCAATCTTAATTGTTAACTTTAATTTTTTTTTTTTAAATATATATTTTGTAAAAAAAAGAAAGAAAAAAAGTCATGAGGTGGTTTGTAAATACATATGCTACACAGTTTGTTACTTCCAGAAGTTAGTGTCACATTTCGCTAACTGGAACGAGGACAAATCAGGTTTGGGGAGGTGCTGATGGAGATATTCATTCTCGTAAAGCAACCAGGGAAAAATTAAATCATTTTCTTGTTTAATGAAGAATATAGCACTGTATTATTAAAGGAGTATTATTCATATTGTTGTTGCCACTGTGGCCATGATACTTCTATCTTTGCGAATATAAACTATAAATGCTAAACTCGACCTCTGGGTCAATGCCCTGCAGTAACCTCACACAGACATTTCATCTTTTTGGTTCTCAAAGTCCACATTTTGTTCAGGACAGGATTATTTTATTATTTGGTACAGGGTCTGAAGAAATATTCCAGAGTGCAACTTTAAAAAGAAAATGTCTATTATTTCGTTTCTTGGAGTACAAACATTGACGTGCTGTGAGCGTAACGACTAAATAAATAGCTTGTTCTCTTGTGATTGGAGAAGATCAATATAGGGCATCGACTAACCCAACATTACACGTTATTTGCCCGCCATGTTTTACATTAGTATATGGTCGCTGTTGGTCACTAGCCTATCTTCACACGCTCAAAGAAACTTTTATCATAGGTAAAACAGTTGTAGTTGCGCTGTAGAGTCTGCTTTCTCTCCCTCCGCCTCCACACGCACTGGCAGAGGACACTCTCTGCAGCTGTGAGGAGCAAACATGGGCTCACTGGGAAGAATTTCGGCTCTTCTGATTCTGATCCTGGGTTCGCAGCACTCCTCGTGTTTCTGGATCATTAATTTAGTGTTCCCCCCTCCCGTAAAGCCAAGTACCCCAAACAACAGCACTCCTCCAGTCGTCATTGGTAAGTGATGCATTATTACTACTAACTAGTGTGTTTAGTGGATGACCCCTGGTTGGGATTTAATTGTCAGATGCAGGCTCAATTTTAACTTCAAATCAGTTCAGAAACAGTGCACTCTGTCTAAGCCATTAGGGCGTATATTATTGTGTAATTGTTATGTTATAAATTTGCTTTGTAATAATAAAAAATAATTGCCCAAAATTGCTACGAGTGTTAAGTGTGAAGGGAAGAGTCCTCTATCTTCGTTGGGCCTTTGGGACACGCATGGAGGCGTGCTGCCTACGCCACTGACTAGTTGCACTTTATATGGATGATTCAGTATTTGAATCATCTGTATGACCTGTTGTTACTGTTCACTTTCAGAAAAATCTTGGATCTTTTCTTTCACACACATGTAACACACATGTATTGAAATATGACATATTATTGCCAAGGTCTAATTTTAAAAGCATGTTTATAGTCATAAACAACAATTTTATTCTAACCATAAGGCTTTATTTAATTAAAACGTAAATATTATAATTTGCTTATGCACAATGGTGACTTCTCTTCTAGTGCCTGGGAACTTGGGTAACCGTCTTGAAGCCAAGATTGACAAACCAACGCTGGTTCACTGGATGTGCTACAAAAAAACCACACACTGGTTCCCCTTGTGGATTGACCTCAACATGTTGATGCCCGTTGGTGTTGACTGCTGGATTGATAATATTAGGTAACAGTACTGTTCAATCAAATGGTTCTGATCCATGACCTTCACTTTGTAAAATTGACCACACTGTTTCAGACTTGTTTACAACCGGACAACTCGCAGATCGTCCAATTCACCAGGTGTTCAGGTGCGGGTTCCAGGATTTGGGCAGACATATCCCATCGAGTATCTGGACAATAACAAACTGTCTGGTGAGTAAATTGTGTATTCATTTGCATAATGTAACTTTTGAGCCCATGATATGTTCACTTCACACCACAGACTGGAGCAGATTTGGACTAAAAAAGATCTGACGTCACTCATATTGTTTACCTAATGCAGAGGAAGTAAGATTTCCCCATTGAGGGACAGATAAAAGATCTCTTAATCACATTTAGAGCTAGCTTTAACAGCCACTAAGCCTAGCACTCACAGTGCGGTGTTGGTCTGTTCCCACTATAGCAAGCCAAATTAGTCTGTTGTTAGGACTCATAACTGGATTTACAAATACATTATTAAGATAAAAGCCCTAAATGAAGATTGGTGTTTTCATTACAATTTAAGTCAACTGGGGCCAAAGTGACTTGGAGCAAAACTTTGTCCATGGGCCCTTTCCTCTTAGGCTACACTGAGCTAGGGTATTGGCATTGCCCATTCCTGTATGCATTCTATGCTTCGCACTTTAACACTTATTAAACATGTCTTATTGATTGGTGGTGATCAGAGGGCACAGACTGCTCGATATGAGTAGAATGCATTATCATTATTATTATTCATTGTTATTAATCAACCTGGCACCTAACAATGTTACATTTTCCTGGCCTTCGGTCTATCAAAGCAGAAAAACAAAATCAATAAATGTTATAATTTGGTCAAAATACCTTCATAATTAGAACACTTATCTACAAAGGAGGATGATGAGCTACAAACAAACATATACACACCGGATTCCTTTTAGTTTAGAGGTTTAAGCCTCGATGTTTAGTGGATACCCATTTATTCAGCTGAGCCTCATTTAGATCACTTCAACTTCAGACCAAATGTATGTTTTTTTTTAAATCAAAATGTTAGAAAATAACTGATACAGATCGCATGCTATACCATGCAATGAAAAAACATGGAGACAAGCAGCATTTCTGCAGTAGAAAAGTTACACATTGTACTTTTGAAAGATGTAGGCTTACCATACAACAACTACAGCTGACTGTTGCAAAGACACAGGGATGTATCTATTGACTCTGTAGTGTAAAGTTGGCCCACTTACTAATTACATACGTTTATAGGTTATTTTCACACAATGGTGGAACATTTGGTCTCTGTGGGATACTCAAGGAATGCGACCATCCGTGGTGCCCCATACGACTGGAGGTTTGCTCCAAGTAAGTAACAAGAGATCTTCCTGCCAGTGTATAATAATAAATGCATATTCGTTCAAGAATATTATCTAGAGCTGTAACAAGTTCATTGATTGATTGCACTGAACTTATTATTGAACTTCTTTAGTAATCAATGAATCGCTTTAAGCATGCTGTGAACTACTTTTGTGATTTCCAACAGAAATGAAAATAACATCCATATTTATAATTTTACATTGCTTATAGTCAAAATGTGTGTATTTGCTAAGAAAAAAACTGTTACGCCAATGCCGATGCTGACTTCCAAATAATATGTTTCTGTTTTCACCTGTGGCAGATGAGAATGAAGAGTACCTCGAGAAGCTGAAAGAGCTGGTGGAGGAAATGTATGAGCAGTACCAGAAGCCTGTTTATCTATTTGGCCACAGCATGGGCTGTCACTATGTGCTCTACTTCCTCAACCAGCAGCCTCAGGCCTGGAAGGACAAATACGTCAAAGGTTTCATCTCTCTAGGAGCTCCATGGGGGGGCGCTGTTAAGCCACTCAGAGTCATGGCATCAGGTACTGAAGTATGGGGCAACGTCTATCTTCTTGCATTCATTTTAAAAAAGTGTATATTGTGACTTGCGGGGCTAAATATGTCTTTTTTTGTTCACGATTTTCACGTAAACATTTTTTGCTTATAGCTCATGTATGGTTCTTGAGAAAACTGGTGTGTGCTTTAGAAATATATTACCCATAGTGTCTAGTATGAATCTATTGTCTAGTAAAATGAACTAGTTATGGTCATCTCCAGATGACTCTGGCTGCGTTATACCAGAACGCCCTATAGCCCAGTAACACATTACTACAAATAGATTTCAACGCCACTTCCGAAGTGACCATATCAGATGAGGTCATACAGTATAATTCACATTACATCGCTTTGACTGGTTATTTTTGCTTGTGAGGTAAACTGCACTGTGCTGGGTAGTGTGTCTAGTCGGAAGAAAGCAATACAAACTTCTCCTCATAAACCATTTTATCCCTCAACCTTCTGAATACAGATTTGAAAATCATGTGAATGCTATAAACTGCACTGGTTTGTATTACATATTTTAATACAGAAATTACATTAACAGGTAATAATGACGGCATCCCAATGATTTCCAACATAAAGATACGTGAAGAGCAAAGGATGACGACAACTAATCCTTGGATGTTGCCATTTGACCGCTTTTGGCCAAAAGACCATGTATTCATCTCTACACCAACAGCAAACTATACCAATCAGGACTACGAGCGCTTCTTCACAGACATCAACTTCGAGGATGGCTGGTATAAAGCACAACATTTGAATTTATTAAATTGTCACAAACAGAAAAAATACACAAACTTGTACAACAATATTATTACAATTTATGACTGTTACAAGACAGATATTGTCTGTCTGTTTAATATACAGTTCAGAATAAAACTGAAGAACAACGTCGCAACTCTAATGTAAAGTTTCTTTGTGTATAGCTCAGAGTCTTTGTTGTTGCAGGCACATGTGGATCGACACCAAGAACTTGACGGGAGATCTCCAGCCTCCTGGAGTGGAAGTCTGGTGTATGTACGGTGTTGGACTGCCCACTCCGGTCACATACATTTATGATGAGAACTTTCCCAACGCAGACCCAGTGGACTTTGTGTATGCCGATGGCGATGACACAGTGGATAGCTTCAGCATGAGTTTGTGCAAACGCTGGACTGGAATGCAGAGTAAACCCATTCATGTCACAGAGTTCAGAGGCCTCACGCACCTGGATATAGTGTACCACGAGAAGGTGCTCAGTCTGATTCAGTATATTCTTGAGGGAAGATCTGAAACACCTGATGAGATTGATGTTAGGGTGTAAAAATGTAAACTCGGAGCAGTATTTTGAGGTGTCACAAATTTGTGATCTATCTGGACTACATCCTCATAGAAATGACCTGAGGTGATGCTCATCTGATATACAGTTGTCTTGTTGTATGTAAAGATATATTGTTGCAAATGGGGCAAAATCTAAGTATTTAAGTCAACCTTGATCATGAATAATGTAACATTGAATTGTGTCTACCTATGTTGTGTAACTCCCTTCTTCTTGTAACCTTAAACCTGATCTGATTCCATAGGTATTATTAAAGACTTTCTTTAAATAACAGCGCTAACCTCTCACCTAACATTTAGGCCTAAATACCCCAGTATTGTACCCTGTTTTACTGTTCTGTCACTTTACTATAAACAAATTGCCTTCCAAATTATAATGTATACAAACATTATTTAATGTGTTATAAAAGCAACAGAATGAAGGCATCATTTTCAGGGGATGCGGCATGTCACCTTTATGATTCCATAGAAACAACTTTAAAAGCATACCATGCAACGCTCTATTTGGAAATATTGCTGTGGAATATTTTTTTGTGTACCATTTGACAAGATTTATGTGAATAACAACAGCAGTAGGTACCACAACAATCAATAATAAACAGTTCTATTCTAGCCAGTTTTTGTGTAATACATAGGTTTAGAAAATGTGTTTGTTTTACTTTGATTGACTTCTCTGAGCGTCTTGCCTGATCGATTGCTGGGCTTGTTTTTGTCTGCTGCATTCACGTGCTCTCGTATTAATCAATAACGTGAACTGATTTAAGTGAAACAGCTTAATTACTTTCTGATTTTTACCAGATTGAGTCGCCACAACAGCTTTATCAAGACCAGCATCGAATCAGACGCAGACGATCTCGCACTGGTCGGTCAAGTGAGATCATTGGTGAGATGAACGAGCAGCACCATTCGGACATAAAACGTAATTCCACGTTACACGTGAACTCCGCATGCGCTGTACCTCGTGATCTCATGCTTCTGCTCAGGCTTCTTGGAGGCGACTCAACACTCTCGCACTTTGGGAACTATTTAAACAGATCCAGCAGTCCTCAAGAGCATCTTATCGCTCCTGTGCAGAGAGGGGACTGGCATGACCCTGGGGCTATGAAACACACGGGCCATGGCGGCGTCTCTACTACGGAAACCCGCCTCTTCAGACCTGCTCGGGGTCGGCTTGTTGTTGTTGTTATTGGTGGTGCTGTGCGATCGGAGCGTAGGAAAACCGCTGGAAGAAAGCACTGACAAGCGCAGCAACACCCCGAAACCTCCAGTGGTTCTCAGTAAGTACTGTACTAGTTAGAAACGCAAAACGCACTTGCATTCACTGACTGGCATTGCAAAGTCATCTCGCAGATTGGGTAATGGTTCAGCCATTTCCAACACGTAACCTAGCGGAGAAAGACTGACATCTTATATATTAAAATGTTAAAACAAACATTTACATACACATAGCTTGGTTGTATTGTCACAGTTGTTTAATGGTTAGTTCCAGTTGTTTACTCTGGAGGATGGTCATATGACTTGCTGAAACTTGGGTAACATGACTGTGCTGGACTGAATGAGCTAAGAAAGAAAAATATTTTCAATAAACACTAAGCCTTAGTGGTTAGTGGCATTATTTGACCCACTCATTTTCAGAATAATGAGAAATTAGGACTTACTGATGTCATAAATAACTCAGCAATATATATATTTTGAGTGTAAGAGGAAAACAATATCAGAACACTTATGAATGTGTAATAACTCTTGTTTATGGATGAGACTATTAGAAACGAACTTGGCCTCCACCGTTCTCTTTTAATGGGTAACACTGTGCTATGTTAACTAAAACATGTAATGCAATCATCAGGAAGTATGTTTGTCATTATTTTTCCAGTACCCGGGGACTTGGGAAACCAGTTAGAGGCAAGACTGAACAAATCCACAGTGGTTCATTATATGTGCTACAAGAAGACCGACTTCTTCACTCTGTGGCTCAACCTGGAGCAGATGGTGCCTGTGATCATCGACTGTTGGATTGACAACATTAGGTACTTTCCTGTCTTTTATTCAACACTGCTAAACGTTCTCCGGTCTCCTTTTACAAACAGATTCCCCCATCCTCAGTATTATCAACCTTTTCCCTCACATTCTTGTGTCAACATTGCACAGGGTAAATGGAAAGCAAGAGAGTGAATATATTTTTGTTTAAGTTTACTAGAAAACATCTTTCTGTTTCTCACTTCCACCAGAGATATGGAAATAAATCTATTTACAGAAGTTGTAACCACTTTGCCTGTTCATGATTCTGTGTAATAAATACAAATACAAAATACAAATAGATACCTGTACTTCCAGTTACTTAATTTGCCTACCAACTTGGCCCCCATTTTGTAGTGTTTCACATGTTGATTGTGTACTTGCTCCTACCAAATAGAATAAGATATTTGGCTTTTTCATTGTGTTCATTAATTTATTGTTGCTAGGCTCATCTACAACAGGACCACTCACACCAGCTCGTCCCCACCAGGAGTTGAAATTCGTGTCCCTGGCTTTGGCCAGACATACCCGTTGGAGTATCTAGATCCAAGCAAACGTCCTGTTGGTAAGTAAGAATTTTTGTGTTATTAAATGTATTTAATGCTAAATACATGTGTGTTTTATTCTTTGTCCCTGTTTTCAGGCATGTATTTTTTTAATATTGTGCAGCAGCTTGTGGAGGGGGGTTACACCAGAGATGATGACATCAGAGGAGCGCCTTATGATTGGAGGAGAGCTCCCAGTAAGAACATGTGCTTGCTGTAATAAAGTGGGAACATCATCACACAATACAAGCTTCAAGCTCATTTTGAATGCATATTTCTTGTGAAAGTACCTCAGTGACTTCAACCCATTCATTAAATACATCGTTCCTGTTTAAGGGAATTCTACATCAACTTTTGTCTGTGAGGTATAAATGATCATTGTCCTCTTTGTTTTTAGATGAGAATAAAGATTATTTCCTGAAGCTGCAGAACATGATTGAAGAGATGGCGGAAAAGGCTCGTGAACCAGTGGTTCTGATCGCTCACAGTATGGGCAACTTGTACACACTGTATTTCCTCAACCAACAGCCACAGATCTGGAAAGACAAGTACATCAAGGCTTTCATTTCTCTGGGGGCCCCGTGGGCTGGAGTTGCCAAGACTCTGCGTGTGGTCGCTTCTGGTATGGGATTTGTGATCTTGTGAAATTCTGCATTAGGATTAAGAATATGTCCTGTACCACCGAATCGGCCACATATCTTAATATTTATATTAACATTTCATGCAGTTCGGTATTGGTCCCAGTATTTAATATAGATAAAACCAATTTTAGTGTTGATTGACTGGCATTCAAATACATCATTTTACTTATGTGTCGGAAATTTGGTTGTTTTCACCCTTGTGTTTTTCAGTGCATGGTTATTTATTCTTGTGAAAATGACATGTGGGACAGAAGTTTCTGGTTGTAGTTTAATATTTTTTTCCATTCATTTTCAGGTGATAACAATGCTATCCCAGTCATAAGGCCACTTAAAATTCGATCTCAGCAGCGCACGGCTGTGTCCACCTCATGGCTCCTCCCATACGCTCATTCGTGGCCAAAAGATAAGGTATGCATCATGTCTCTGTAGTTTCTGCTACAATTTGTCAGTTTTCATTTTTTATTATTTTTTTATAGCTAACCAATGTTTGAAGGGACTAAAGCCTTGCCACAATTGCAAAGTTTTTACAATGAATTAACAATTGGATAAGACATTACCAAATACTGTGAAATATGTATATTATATTTTTACAGGACTGAGGTACATTTAGTTTTGACTGGTGTATTTGGCGTTTAGTTTCCCATGCATCAACAAAATAAATTCACACAGATATGGTTCTGTCCCACAATCTCAAAATTGTGGGCTGTTATATCAACCTGTCAGACGGCCACATGAAAAATAACAGTAAAAAGATTTTTTTATATTAATAAATTGGTTTTGGTCGAATAAAGTGTATCAGAAGATGCTATACCTTTCAGTAGAAGGTGTGCATACATATCAAGATTTTTGTAAACTATAAAAGCTAACGGTCTTGTTTCTTCTAGATATTTGTGCAGACTCCAACTTTTAACTACACAGTTATGGATTACCAGCGCTTTTACAAGGATGTTGGATTTGAGGATGGGTGGTTTATGCGGCAGGACACTGAGCCACTGGTCTCTGACCTGAAGCCTCCTGGTGTGGAGACTCACTGTCTTTACGGTTCTGGTGTCCCGACCCCGGAGAGCTTCCATTACTCAAACAAGTTTCCGGAAGTGGATCCTACTGTATTGTACGGCGATGGAGATGGAACTGTGAACCTGATTAGTGCTCTGCAGTGTAAAACATGGGTAGGCAAACAAAAGCATAATGTTACGTTAAAGGAACTTCCAAATAATGAACATGTGGCCATGCTAGCAAACATCACAACCGTGGATTATATCAAGAAAGTGCTGTTCTCACCCTGAAACACTTGTGGGGAAGAAAAGGGTTTGGAACCTGGGTTGAATTCGTTTGAATATTCACTTAATTAGGAATAAACCTTTTTTCATTCTGATGACCACATTCTCACAAAAGCTGATGTGGTTGTTTGTCTGTGCAGGGGCTGGAATTATTATTTACGATATGTACTAAGTTCCATTTTAACTATATTCCTTCATGGAACCAATAGTAAATCTGTCAGATTTTAAAGTTGACATGTGATAATGGTAGAACTGGTCTTGTTGCGTTGGCATTCTTGACTAAATGTTAACGTTTAATTGTTTATTGGAAAAAGGCTGTCGGCGATCAAATGTTTTGTATGTTTTTCCACAAAGAGTTATTTTACTGGGTCTTAAGGAAACCCACCTGTGTGCCACATTGTTTTCATAATGCAGTACAGTGCCTTATTTCCCTAGGGGTTCATGTTTTTTTTTTCTTGAATGTGCTTATGATAATTCACTGTATATGTTTTTATTAAATTAAGAATTTCTTGAATTTACAGTATGTTTATTTTGACTATTTGGAATTTACACAAGTAACATTTTGCAAATGACATTTTACTCTTCACACAAAAATATATACTAGGATTGTTGCAGTAAAAAAAATATATGAAAACAATATAACCCATCCACCCTCATTCACAGTGCAATGGGAAGCAAAAAACTTTGTTGCCTGTTCGGCACCGAAGTTCCACACAGTTCAAACTTAGGGTAAATGGGCCGTCCTCTTGAGTGTCCATTATGCTCTAAAGAAAAAGTAAAGTTACCATATACTCTTACAGTATTATCTCATACATTTGTTTCTAGTTATTCTAGTCACTAATTCATAAAATCAATACCTGAAGTTCTTTAAGAAATGTATTGATTTGAGCCTCAACATTTCCAATGCACCAGGCCAGACTCACGTGGAATGAGGGATCCTTTAATGCATAAGAAAATAAGGATTAAAATAAAGTAAATACAGAGCCATAATATGACCACAAACAAGTCAAAACAAAAATGACAACAGAAAAGGGGGGCTTGTATACAGCATTTCTGAGATAATAAAATGGTCTTACCCCCAGCATCATGCTATAGTGCTGCTTTTCTTTAGCAGTGACTATGAGAAGCTGGAAGGTGAAAAATACAGAGAAATCTGGGAAGAAAAGCTGGGATGGATGCTTACCTACCATCAGAACAAATTAAATCTGACAGAGCTTGAAATGTTTTGCAAGGACGAAGAGGACAAACGTTCAGTCTCTAGATGTGCAAATCATACAATAAACTTGCTGGTGTGGTTTCAGCAAAAGGGGGTTCGAAGAAGTATTAACTTGTCCTACTTAGTTACTTATAGAAGCTCAACCATTTCAGTCTTTTATTTATTTTTTATATAAAATAATAATTCCTTTCACTTCACAGTTGTCAGTTACTTTATTGTGGTCTTTCAGTCAAAAAGAACAACAGGCAAATTAAACATGTTTATGGTTATAACATGTAACAAGCTATTATAGATACTTTTGCAAGACACATTGTATGGTTAAGATTGGTACCCAATTAACATTTTAAAAAACAAACTTTTACTTACTTTATAAAAAGTCTCCAATCTAAAATCTGTCATCGTTTTATCCACTACTTTGATAATCTCCACTAGTTGATTACTTCCTGCTGAAACTTCCACACCAATAAATGTTCTACAGCAAAGACATTGAAATATTGTCAATTATGTCCTTCTGCAGAAAAGATAAGTATCGTGTTACATACCTTGTCTTCTCAGCATTACAATAGACTTTTAACTTCTCTGCTGAACACTTGAACCTGATGAACGTAAATATGACCTGTGATGGTGTTTTCTTAAATCAATACGTCATCTGTCAAATTAATTGTATAAGATAAGCTCTATTGTTTTGTAAGACTTTAATAACATTAGCTATTGTGCTCACCTTCGACAGTGTGCCAAGTCTGCCTTGAGGTTCTGTGTAAATGGCTGTATCCAGTGATGTCTCAGCACAACGGTCTGCGAGAGACTGACATGGAACTCCTCCTGTGGCGTCAACTCTATGCCATGACATTTGGCTACAGACACAAGCTCTGCCAGTATGTCCATGAATTCTTCTTCTGGTTTGTCTAAAGATCCAGATATATGTGTGATGTACTGTACAACAATATTGAAAATGCAAACTATGCAATGAGTGCTATGGGCTTACAGGGTAAATAAACATAGGTCGCCCAAATTCCCTGTTCATGTTTAAATGAACGCATACGTCCACCATGGAGTGAGCGGTCTTCAGTCTGTGCTTCAATCTCATCCGGAAACATGTTCAGGACACAATGAGGCACAGGTAATCTGGGACAAAATTCCATGAACATGTGAATAGAGGAAAGATAAGATAAACCTTTATTTGTCCCTTAGTGGGGAAATTTCAGCTCTAGGTTATTAATACTAGGCATAGTTTTGAAAAATGTAAAACAAATGTAAACATAATTTGCGTTTAATCTGTATAGATATATATTTAACAGAATTAATATCCATGCTATATAATAATATGTAGATAAGGTCCTATTCTTGTTGACAAGAAGTGACACTCACTTGGTTTTTGTTGATTGTTCGAATGTAGGTTTTTTAGCTGGATATGAACTTTCACCATCTTGTTGTCTTCCAGTATTTACTGAAGAGTCACCTTCCTCCTCTGAGCTGCTGCTGTAGACTACTAGCATGGCCTCGATAAGTCAAATACCTTAATAAGTACAATGTCCTCGATAGATTAAACTGTATACACATAGTTTAGCATAAACGTACCATTTCTATGAACTCGGGACACACATGCTTACACAACCATGCTAAACTTGCTGTAAACAACTGGTACTCTGCATAAATGTGTCCCCCGTGAAATACAGTTAGGCCACTTGGTTCCACTATATCAAAAAAGGAGAAAAAAATACAAGTAGCAGGCGCAAGATATCATGTTTTGTGAAATTTTAAATATAATCTTATATAAATATCGCATACAGGTGTATGTTTATGATGGCATTACGTTACATAATAATGACATACTCGTTCATTTGGCATATTTGTGGTTCAGAAGTATGTGCACACACAAAAATGCCAGTGACAATGCCAATCAAATTACACTAAATTCACATTTTGTGTGGGGAAAACCATAGACTGGGAAAACCCATGGTGTGGACAGGGCGATTAGCCTACGCTAACCAATGCTAACAATTGCTCACACAATCTGTAGCTAATTGGCGTTACGTTTGTTGCGTTTTTTGTTTTTTCAAATTTAACTAGAGGGTGTAACAATAATTCATGGCCAAAAGTGTTGTTCTGATGGTAAGTGCTGGAGACGGAACAGCTTTAGAGCTGTGCACAGCCCTAGGAACCGCAACTACTGTGCAGCAGGCGGCAGTGCGGATGTTGGGGGACTCAGCGCGGCAGACTAGCGAAGGGCACCAGGATTTTTGTCTATTCTTGTTTTTCAAAGGTACATTTTGTGTTCTCACTGCCTTTGTTTGAATGCTAATAGAGTATGTAACTTGTACACATGTTTGCATGCATTCTTTACAACCTTCCGTGTCGTTATTTCTGCGTTTGCTAGCAGGCATCATTTTAGCTTAGCTAGCTATCTATCGAATGAGCGAGTAACGAGTTGAAAATGTTATGCTTAGATGTCACTCGGCATCTATTGCTGCATGTTCCTCCTCTGTGAGCTACTCCTCTTCATTACGTTGATTTATTTTGTATTATTAACGCTAGATGTATGGAAACACGCCCTCTTTGAGTGTTGACAATCCACGTACTGGTTACTCGCCGATTGTATACTGTAGTCTAGAAATTGAAGCTATTTTATGTTTGCATTAGTGTTTAACTGATCATAATTTCTTGTATTCTGTTCTTCAAATATGCGACCGAACTGAGCAGCTGCTGTAATCTACTATTATGGAGTAAGTTTTGAATGCCTTGACTTTGTATATTGCGAACACTTTTGTGCTCAAACAGCCTCTGATTGCCCTTTATAACTTTTTCCTTTAGTTGGGCTCCGCCTTCCGCAAAGCTGAATTCTTACAGCCGAACTCGTATGGCAGAGGCCTGGCAGCAACATACTGCGGCTCAATCTCAAGTTGTTCACTCAATTCCCTCAGGAGCAGCGAACCCTATGGGCTGTGCAGTGTATGATATTGTTCTTCAGCAAGATGGTCCATCTGCACCTCAACAGCAGCTTCAGTCTAAGCACAACCATCACAGCAGCCAGCACCATCAACAGGTCATAAGGGAACCGCAGCATGAACACCGACATCATCGACAGCAGCAGTCGCAGCAGCAGCAGCAGCAGCAGCAGCAGCAGCAGCAGCAGCAGCAGCAGCAGCAGCCGCAGCCACAGCCACAGCCACAGCCACAGCCACAGCCACAGCCGCAAAGGCAGAGCGCAGCTCAACCTCAGCGCTCCAGTGTTCAGGGGGAAGCAGAAAACAAGTGTGGGGCATGTGGTCATGAGATCTCTCACCTTTCCAATCCTCACGAGCATCAGTGTGTTGTCCCACAGGATCGCTCCTTCCAGTGTACGCAATGTTTACAGATTTTCAATCAAGCAACAGACTTGTTAGAACACCAGTGTGTTCAGGTTGAACAAAAGCCGTTTGTCTGTGGCGTGTGTAAAATGGGCTTCTCTTTACTCACATCTCTAGCCCAGCATCACTCTTCTCATAACAGCAATAACCCAATGAAGTGCTCCATTTGTGAAAAAACCTTTAGACCCAGTTCCTCAGATAATGCTACACCATCTACTTCAAAAAAACATTCTCATCATTCTAGTCGTGACAGTGCAGCCAATAGCAGCTCATCTATTCTTCCTTTCCCCTCAGCCCGGGACAGACCTTACAAGTGTTCTGTGTGTCAAAAGGGCTTCAAACATTTGTCTGAACTTACACGACATGAGCGTGTTCACACAGGAGAAAAACCTTTTAAATGTGACATATGCGATAAAGCATTTAGCCAGTCATCACACCTACAACATCATCAACGCACCCATAGCAACGAGAGGCCTTTTAAATGTGCGGTTTGTGAGAAGAGTTTTAAGCACCGCTCCCATCTGGTCCGCCACATGTATGTTCACTCTGGAGAGCACTTGTACAAGTGCAACTTATGTGAGCTGCACTTCAAGGAGTCCGCAGAGCTCCTTCACCACCCGTGTCACCCACAGGGTTCACGGCCCTTTCGGTGTGCAACGTGTGGCAAAGGCTTCAAGCGTCCATCTGATCTCCGTCAGCATGAGCGCACACACTCAGAAGAGCGGCCCTTCCACTGTGATGAGTGTCAGATGAGCTTCAAGCAACATTTTGCTCTGCTTCGCCACAGGCGCTCACATCAAGACCCTACAGATCGACCATTCAAATGTAATCTGTGTGACAAGTGCTTTATGCAGCCCTCTCACCTCCTCTACCATCAGCATGTACATGGTATGGACAACCTGTTTAAATGCGGCTCATGTCAGAAAGAGTTCAGCCAGTCAGGTGATCTGCTCAGACACAAGTGTGGAGATTCCCCAGTCCACTCTCCTGACAAACCGTACAAGTGTGAGATTTGTGGTAAAAGCTACAAAAAGAGCTCCACATTACAGCGACATCAGAACTCGCACTGTCAGGAAAAGCCGCTGAAGTGTTCGCTCTGCGACCGCCGCTTTGTTTCTTCCTCAGACTTTGTTCAGCACAGATGTGATCCATCGCGAGAAAAGCCACTGAAGTGTCCAGACTGTGAAAAACGCTTCAAATATTCATCTGACCTGAACAGACATAAACGAGTGCATACTGGCGAAAAGCCCTACAACTGTGACCACTGCAACAAGGGTTTCAAACAGCGCGAGCACCTTAACAAACACGTAAGCACTCACACCAGAGAGGGCCAGTTCAAATGTGTTTGGTGCGGGGAGCGCTTCAGTGACATCGTCTCTTTGCAGGACCACACAGTGCAGCACACAGCAGACGGTGGTGGTTACCCCGTGTCCCAGTGCCTGTAACTGTTGTCTGATGTAAATATTTGTACTTTTTAACGTGATTGGACTTTGTAAAGCTTAGTATTTAGTCCAGTAAATGTTTTCATGTTTATCTTTTAGAAGGTATTTTTACTTTTTACTTTTTACCCTATATTACCATTGTGAGCACCCAATTTTGTTATTTTACCAGAAGGCTGCACGATGTACTACTGTAATGGTCACATTTCATTGTTATCATATCTTCTCCTAACCTCAGTCATTGTTATCTACATTAAGCATTACAATGTTTCCCTTCATTATTCAATAGAAATAGTTAATGTATGCCATATATTTATTTATACTTATTATTGAGGTGGCTTGGGCATCTGTTTTGGATGCCCCTTGGACGTCACCCTGGGGAGGCGTGGGTCCCACTGAGAGGTCCTGGAAAGACCCAGCACACGCTATAGGGATTATGTCTCTCAGCTGGCCTGAGAACGCCTCGGGATTCCACCAGATGAGCTGGAGGAAGTGTATGTGGATAGAGAAGTTTGGGCGTCTCTGCTTAGACAGCTGCCCTGCCTCTGCAACAGTAAAAAACTTAAAAGTTGGAAATAGGGATGGAACAAATTAATTGCTTAACCACAACTAATACATTATTTTAGTAGCTTTTAACTAATTTAGTAAATGATTAATAATTGTATTAAACCATACAGAGATTAAAACTGTGACAGACCAGTAAATAATGCAGAGTGAGATTGAAATGTGTAAAAAAATCTATTTTTAATCATAAAACAAATAAAGTTTAACTCTTTTCTATGAAGATGTTCTTGAGTGGCATCACTTTTTAGGTTTTAGTTGAATAAATATATTTTTAAAAACCTCCATATTTAGCCAAATCAACAGGGAAACATTGTATATTGGTTTAAAAAAAAAAAACATACCTCATTACTTGTTGCTTGTGTTCATGGAGAGATTTTGTGCAGGTATAACTGTTATATTGATTTATGGCTGAAGGTTTTTTTTAGTTTTTTTTTTACAGATTATTTTATTTTTTTCATCAGTAATATAGCTTACAATTAGAATATGGGGTAACTTTCTGAGGCATTTGTGAGAAAATTAACTACGCTGGAATTTTTGTGCCAGTTTTTGCTTTGTGTTCAGCCCACTGTAATTACGCAATTTTTGTCTTGACAGTTCAACTGAATCATAAGAGTTGTGACCTCCACCAGCTCAAAGCAGTAGCAACATTGCTGCCTTCTGGATGCACAAATAGTTGATTAACTGTCAATTGAAAAGTTGAGTAGTCTGCAAAGAATATGTTTATAATGTATCTCACTATTCAAATAATTACCATAAGCAAGGCATATAGCAGAAAGGATGTGTAAACATGTAGGCCAATGTCCTTGAGGAATTAACACAAACGGCACATATAATGGTTGTGTGTTGATATAAACTTTTTTCTTATAGTATGTGTATTAACATGCATAAATAGAAATGTGTTAAAGTGTACTTCTAACTGATCTATGTTTTATAGTGTGTTTTTGTTTAATACGCTTTAGCGTCTTGCAGAATAGTGACTTTTCTACTATATGATAAACTTTGGGCCCATCAGCTCCTGCCATGTTCACAGTTCACCTGAGCCACCCTGCATGCTTTCTGTGTCAATCTGTTTAATTCCTTTGTCTTGCCATTAGCCTTTTTATTCCTTTACTCTGACACATTTGTAGTCTGAAAGTACAATTGCAGAATGTGTCCTGTATTCAACATTTTGTATTTTGTTACATACAAGATGTGTCATAAAAACAATGTTTTATTTGTCGTTTCTCAGTGATTAAGTGATGTAAAGGGTGGGGGGTTTGCATTATTGGCAGTGCAATGCATTGTCATTGAAGAAGCTTGTTATGGGATATGGCACCAAAATTATGTTACAGAATATCACCAAAGTAATGCAGCTGCATAGACACATGCTGCTGAATCATGTGAACATCCTGGATCAGACAGCGGTCTGGCGTCACAACAAGAAGGTCCTGGGTTCATTTCCACCTGATGAGGACTTTCTGTGTAGGTTTCCCCCAAATTACCCCAAAACTACAATTTGGATAGGTGTGTTAATTGCCATGCCCCATTCCAACCAAATACATACTCAAATAAAATTAGTACATGGACTTTTCCGTTTCAGCTCTCCATATTACCACAAGAGGGCGCTACTGCAGGGTGTTTTCAGCTGTTGGTTCACCAGGCGTCAACTGGTTTCAGTTCCGGGGCTCTCACTCAAGTCGGTTCAGTCGTAATTCTCTTCCCCTGCGTTATCACCGGGTGCTCTACTCTACCCCTGAACACGGCCGCTGGCCCCGGGCCCCGCGGTTCCTCTCGCCCCCACAGCCGCGCACCTGCAGCGGCCTCTTCCCTGGTGATGCGCGGAGCACTCCTCCTGTAGCTCTGGAGGCTAACATTAGCTCACAACATCGATATCGACTACTCCACCCCCTCTGCTCGACCACCGCTTCCATCCTGCACTTCAGCTCTGATTGATGGCCTCCATCGGACCAGAGACCCTTCTTCATAGTTGCATATGAACACTTTTGACGTTTCGTCCTCGGGAGCCCGAACTGTCTTCGCTACTCCCCCCTCTTGTTTCGTGGCCTGCTTGGGGTATCTGTTTTCTCTACACCGGCCCTGATAATTGCGCTTTAACCCTTTGATAAATCCACACAGGGCTTTTTTATTTGTGAATTTTACTCGGCGGGACTCTGTGTGTCATTGTGTCATCGCCTCTCCCTCGGGCTGCAGCAGGAGGATCATTGTGTTTCTCATTCATCGCCCTCCGTACAGTCCTCCCGTGGCCTCTGCTGCTGCTGTCAGTGTGTGAAAGTGCCCGCAGGCACTCGCCATGCCGGGTCCGGTGGCCGGTAGTAAGTCTCGTGTTTACGCAGATGTCAATACGCTGAAAAGTCGGGAGTATTGGGACTACGAGGCCCACGTACCGAACTGGAAGTAAGTCTGTTCGTCGTTTGCTCTTGTTCATGAATTTGGACCAAAATGACAGTTTTGCTTTCATTAAATTTGTGTAAAGTGATGTTTTAGTTATTACGTTGAGGTTGTATTGAAAACGTGTCTGATTGCACTGTTTGGTCTGCTGTCAGTCTTGCTTATGTTTGTCTCCGTCTTCACTGAGATTAAATATCTGTCATTTCTTTACTGTATGTTTTGCATGCAGTATACTGCGTGTTGTAACATTGTTAATAGATATTTTCCCCCTCTCACACTTGTCGTTTTGTTTGTACCTGTAGCAACCAAGAAGACTACCAATTGGTGCGAAAGCTGGGCAGAGGAAAGTACAGTGAAGTATTTGAGGCCATAAACATCACTAACAATGAGAAAGTGGTGGTTAAAATCTTAAAGGTCAGTAGTTTTCAGTGTTGTTTGTTTGGTAAAGATGCAACTCATAGTCTTGTCATGAAGGCAAATACATGTCCCATTCTTGTCACTTCTGCTGTGTCAGCTGTTACCTTCAGGAATAGTCACACATTTATTTAGTTAATCTATGGATTACAATCTTTCTCACTGTCTGCATGTGCCAGTGAGACAAAAGCAGTGTCAAATGACACATGTCAGGTATGTTGATAGCGTAACCTTGGTCCTCCCAGAGGCCGTAGTGTGTGCTGAGATTGACTGGTGGATGCTGCAGTAGCCGAATCAGCAGCTTCTGCGAGAGTCCGCTTAGGGCCTCCCTCACAGATGTTTGCATGTTATTCTCGCCTACTCTTGTTGTTATTAACTCTTTATGTCTGTGCGTTTTAAAACAGCCAGTAAAAAAGAAGAAAATAAAACGAGAGATCAAGATCCTAGAAAATCTGAGAGGAGGAACCAACATCATCCGTCTGGTAGACACAGTAAAGGACCCTGTGGTGAGTCTTGCCTGAAATGCAAACAGCACAATAAATACAACCTTTTGCACTCAACTGTTTCATTATGCGTGTTACATACCTTTGCTTATTCTGGCCAAAAGGTTCTATGATGTTCATTTAAAAACTTACTCATTTTATGCTTTTAAACGTGAATTTAATCTTCCTATGATCTCTTTTCCTTGGAATCCTTTGAAAATGTATTACTACAATCAGAATGTTTTAATTTGCATTGTTGGACTTTACCAACTAGGATTTTTCTTTGGCAATAGGCTGCAATAAACATGTTAACAATTCAAGGCTAGTGCAAGTTACCGTGGTGATATGAACACTTCGTAACTTGTTCATTTAGCTCACAGGGGTGACAGTGGCTCATTTGGTAGAGTATTGGCCTTTGAGACAGAAGGTTGTGGGTGAGAGCCCACCACGAGACCTTCTCTACAGACTCCACTGATGTCTGCTGTTGTTGTGTCCTTGGTCAAGACACTTCACCCACTTTGCCTATGAGGCGCGCGGAAGTGATTCTCACTGCTTGCCTTGATGTGTATGCATCAAACTGAAATTTCCCTATTGTGGGACGAATAAAAGGACCTTCTTTTTCTTCATGAGTCCAACTGCAGAGAGGACGAATCTTTTCTAGTCCAGATGGACTGTAGCCTCCGGCCTGAGATTTACATAATGCAAATATTAAGTAACAGTATTCTTAAATCCTCCAAAGCCAAAAGTTGGTGGCTGTGGTTTCACGCAAACCAAAATGCCTTTATGTGATCTAATATCCATAACAGATAACACTTGTAAAGTAGACGGTACAGAATCTTGGCTGGAAGTATGAAATAATTTGAAATTGGTCATTATTAGATGAATTTGAAGTTATTTGAAACAAAAATGAGCTCATTATAAATCTTTACACTGCATATGTGCTATTCTGTTCTAATTCGATGTGGGCATTCCTCAAGCTCCATATTTTTTTCTCTTGGGGTATTTTTAGCGCCTCCTCCACACATCAAGCTGTGGTGGAAGCAGTCTGCATGTTAGAGACCTTCTTTTTCTGAAAATTGCAGAAGCAGAGGATTTCCAGGTTATTGGGTTTATTTCAAAATACCTGTAAAATCAACATTTATGTTTGTGCTGTTGCTTTCATCATCTTCTCAATCCAAATTCTCTGGACAAAGGGTTTAAATCAGTAATGAACTACATCCTGCTTGTGATTTGAACTCCTGCATGTTTCTTTCTGTGGTGGCTTTCCAGTCCAGAACTCCAGCTCTCGTCTTTGAATGCATCAACAACACAGACTTTAAGGTACATTAAAATCCTCTCTGCGCTTGCTCTGCTGTTGTGGTTGCTGGGGTCCGAGGACGACAAATAAATTAAAGGATATTTATTTCCATAGGAGCTGTACCAGAAATTGACAGATTACGATATCCGTTTCTACATGTATGAGCTACTGAAGGTGAGACTGCGCCTTCGGGCTTCTATTGTAGTTGTTTTAATGCATTTGGGTGAAACTGGACGTGCACATATGTTAAGTACCAAGCCTCAATTGGCTCAATGCTACAATATTGAGGGCTCATTCTTCTGAAGTTTTAAATCTATGTTCAGATTATATTTCACTCGTGACAAACTGTGTCCTTGTCATGTACCTGTTTAACAAAGCACTGGTCTTCTTCCTTTAGGCCCTGGACTACTGCCACAGCATGGGAATCATGCACCGTGACGTCAAACCTCATAATGTGATGATCGACCATCAGTTAAGAAAGGTTGGCTATAGTCTCTAATTCTTTTATTCAGACACCAATACCACATCCGGATCATTCATATTTGGTTTCCATCTTGAGTCATTTCATTTTTAAATCAAAAACATCTTTAGAAACTTGTCAACATCAGTTTACAGACTGCGGCTGGTTCCTGAAGTGTCAGTTGAGACTCCTTAAGGGGCAGATTAACATGCAAACTGTAATACAAATAAAACTTATTATAATTAGTGTATACAAATAGAAATAAACAGTTGTGGTCCCAGTTTGGTTGGATGGTTATTTAATTGATGTAGGTCAATAAATTATGATTAAATGCTAATCTTGTTAATGTGGTTGATGCTGTAGCTTCAGCTTTTGTTTGGGTTGTGTAAGAGCAAATATCTACTTCTGTTTTTATCAACTATTTTATCTGAAGGCAATTTTCTATCTATGCTAAACTAAAATTAAAATGAGCGAGTTATTTGATCTTGTTGTGCTTACCAGCAGAGGGCAGCATTCCTTCATCACTTCGTCTGAAACATAATGTGTCCAGTAATTTATATATTTTAATGATTTAAGTTTTACCATGCACTACGTAATTTGTGTGAAAATCATTTGGATTCCCCTAAAGAGATATTGATTTTCTGAACACAAATGCATAATCCTGACCTTCTGAATGGAAACAAGCCACAAAGACAAGTTTTTGGCTGTCGTATCCCTAAAAAGACACTTCAGGTACTTAAGAAGTTGTGTGGTCACAGCTTAGACAAATTTAACAAGAGAAAAATGTCTTATATTCTTACTGATAATTTTCAGGATAGCAACGGCCATAGGCCTTTGTCAGACAAGTAACCATCTCTAGAACGCACCATAGAAAAGTAAGACGTTTAATGTTCATTATTTTCATTTGAGTGAGTAGGGCAAAAGAGTGTTTGCAGTTGCCGATTGTGAGAAATATTAGAGGGGCTCTTAATTTTCATCATGCAACTGCGAGTGACAGAATGTGACAAAAAATGAAAGGCCTCTTTTGGATCATCCAGATCCAAAACTTAAGATGGGCCTGGACTGGCTTAATCAACGGGACCTTTCGGACGCTGCATCGTGCCCTTTTTAAATGCAGTGCCTTCTATAGTTAAGTAGTAGTATAAACTGTTATTTTAAGACCACAAAAAAAGGCGATCACAATTAGAGATGAGCAGAGCAGCATCCACCAGAGAGAGTAAACAAAGAGTTAGACCTTTTTATTCCTGGAATCGACTCAAAAAGGATTTCATTATTTTTGGTTATTTTATGTTTGATAAAGTTTAGGTAGGATTGTTATGCTAATGTTAGTATGTTTTGCACAGCTACGTCTTATAGACTGGGGTTTGGCAGAGTTCTACCACCCATCACAAGAATACAATGTCAGAGTCGCCTCTCGATATTTCAAAGGCCCCGAGCTGCTGGTGGACTATCAGGTACAATTATGTTCTCCACAAAACCATCCATTGTTCTTATCTCTGTGTTTTAATGTGGTGCTGCAGATGTACGACTACAGTTTAGACATGTGGAGTTTGGGCTGTATGTTGGCCAGTATGATATTTCAGAAGGAGCCCTTTTTCCACGGACAAGATAACTATGATCAGGTACAACTCAAACACATTTGAATACATTATTGTAATACACGCTTTAAAGATCAGACTTTCTCTTGGGTTCTGCTTCTACACACAATACCCTTTCAGGTTATACATACATAGTGGTTAAGTGGTTTCCGTAGCTTTGTTAGATTGGTTTTAATGAATTATTATGGTAATTAGTTTTATAGTTTAATGTTTTTATTAAACATTTGTAAAATTATTTAATAATGATTGACAGGTAAATGTGGTTAGTCGTTATTAATATTTGGGAAGTTTTTCCTGGTTAATGTTTTCAATTAACTAAATGACTAGAAATGATAAATGTTTTAATCAGACTTCTTAAATATCCTTAGCTGGTGCGTATTGCCAAAGTGCTAGGAACAGATGAACTTTTTGGTTACCTACGAAAATACCACATTGAACTGGACCCGCGCTTCAAGGACCTGCTTGGACAGTAGGCATTTGATACATGGAGGTATTTTGTTTGAAGCACAATAGTAAAGAATGTGTCAATTTTTTTCCCATTTTTATAGACAGAGCAGAAAACGATGGGAACAGTTTGTGCAGACAGAGAACCAGCACCTGGTCAGCCCTGAGGCTCTGGATCTGCTGGACAAGCTTCTACGATACGACCATCAACAAAGGCTGACCGCCACAGAAGCCATGGAGCACCCCTACTTCTGTGAGGAGAAACATCACAACTGTTTCAATCTATATCATGCACTGTCATATTTGAAGTTTTCACTGCTTATTCACAGATCCAGTGGTTAAGGAGCAGTCCCTTTCAAATTCTGATAACAACATCGTTTCCAGTGGCAACACAACAGCTCGATGAAAACTGGGTAAAGCATTAGTTACTTTGTTGGTGCACCATGAATGAGGGCATCACGGAAATGAAAATACAAATTGTAACTGATCTGCTCAAACTATGGCATGTAGTTTCATCAAAGGACAGTTGTGGTTAAAGGCTGCCGTCATATTGAACTGCAGTGCAAACCATTGCCGTGGTTCAGTTTGGTAGAATGACGTGAAGCTCCCGATGCACAATGTGGATCTGCAGCCTGTGTCACTGATCGTAACCAGGTGGTGCTGATTGGCAGCCATGTTTGACGGTGTAAGAGGACCATTCAATGTAGCTGTACACAGTATTTGGTGTCTTTCATTATTTAGTTTTATCAGTTGGTGTCTTGGTCAACCACTTATTGTATTTGGCAACAATCAATACAAGTGTTTTGGTGTAGCACAATTTGTACAGGACGCAACACAAAAACAAATTATTTAATTTAATTTACAAGAATTTCATATTTCAATATGTGTCTATGCCCCCAAAAAAAACCTTGGCTTGGTATTTACCCTCTCTCTATTCACATGTTGAATCCATATTGTTTGTTAAATGCTAGATATTTTATGCTTTAAAAAGTTACTTCCATAAAATGTTAGTTTTGTGAGCAACGCTTGGGTCAGACTTGTAAAAATGTTAACTGGGCGTGTGTGTGTTTTTGATTACTGTCCCATTTGCTGTTAATACACTGTAGTTATTTTCTGTGTTTTCCAGAAGTGGACAAGATGTTCGTCTGTTACCTTAACTTTGTGACAGTAACTTTTGACAAGTGTACAGTGACAGTGGAACAAATGGGACACACACCTCTTCACACACTTCAGTCTAAGCACAGACACGTGACCACGCCCTCCTCCTCTGTATCCGTCTGTGAATGGCCTGTCCTGGTTCCTTGTCGACAGTGTGTGACCAATGAGCCCGAAGCTGTCCCCGCACCAAACGTTTCTTTCCTTCAGTGGTTTTATCCCAGCTCCGTCTCACGTAGGTCAACAAGGACTCAAAAAGACAATACTTCTTTCCTGGTCTCTCTGGTCTTGGTTTGCATCAGCATGGAGAATGAACAGGAGCGTGCGCCTATTGCCCCTCCTCCTCTTGTACTCAACAGACACTCTGATGTCTTAGCACTACTCCAGTTCAGAAAGTGGCATGGTGGACTCTCTAGATAGAATGACGATGAGAATAATAATATTAATGAAAATAAATGATTTTTATTTAGATGATAATGTGTCCAAGTTGCTTATCTTTTTTTTATTCTTCTACTGTATTCCTTAATGTGGAAGATAACATCAAAACCAAAACGATAATTTTGATATGTTACAATGAAACGACAGTGGTTTAAAGATCAAGATAGAAGGGAGGAGGTTCATGCATTTGTAAAATTGACCACAGGCAAAAAGGTACAACTTTTCTATATTATATTTACAATTCTTAAGTATGTGTCATGCTACAAGGGGCCAATACCAAAACAGTTGTGTTCGTTCTATACTTAGAGGTGCATTCTGCAACTCTACTGGTGGTGGGATCGCTGTTAACTTTGTATAAACGTCCAGGAAAATCAATTATTTATATTATATTCAATTTACTTTTACTTTGAAAACAAGAATGTGACTTCACGCAAATAATTACAAAAAACTAAAACAATAACATCTATGCCCTAAAGCCAGGATCTGACCACTTCACACAAAGCAGGACACCACCAGAACAGCTGAATGCATCTGTTGTTGATGGTATGCCATCTCATCTTGTAATTATTATTCCACAGATGAGTACATTTTAAAAACCTATCTTTATATACACATTTACTTTTCCAGGTCCCTTTACAGTTGTTCTTGTTTTTGTGTGTGAGCGGCGGTTAAAGTATCTGCTTCAGTTCTATACAGAAACTAGAGCCGTGTTTTCCTGTCCTACAACCTGATTCCTGAGCTCCATACTCTCACACTGGGCCTATAGACCTTTTACATCCTGCCCATGAATGATTGAGCAGAGCCAACCTGTCTGACCAACACTAACAGTCGGGTCACAGAGTCCAAGGTGTCCTGTCTCCGGACCAGGACTTTCCACACTGGACTGTTCTCATGTGGATTACTTGAGTGAGGATGTTCATCTAGGTTATTCTAATGCTCCCTTGAAATTAAATCTTGTCTCTGGCAAGACTCTGGCAACTGTCAGAATAAGAAACACAATAATGTACTGTTTGGAGCTAATTAAAAAAACTATACAACTGACTGAAAAGGTGTCTGCAACATTTGTTGCCATTTATAATATCAATCATACATTCAGATGTAAAACAACCAATATTTAATCTCCCTGGAGAATTGTGACTAACACTTTCAGACAGAAACTGATATTTTTTTTCTTATATCTTCAACTTTCTCAAAGAAATGGGTGTGATGTCATCAGTTGCAGAAGGTAGCTCTCCTGTGCCACTGAGAGCGGGGCAGCTTGAGGGACCATGGGGCCCTAATGTCAGCCAACACGCTTTATACTGCGCTTGTACCGGAGGCAGCTTGGGACACATCTTTTGTCACACTTGAAACCTGGGGATGCTGGAGCCTGGAGCGTGCAGTTTTGCTTCCTGCAAAGACAAACACAAGAGATGAGAAGAGCTCCTAGGACAGTGAATTATTCAGAGGCACCTCTTGTACCCCTGGCCTGTCCTGACATGGTGTGATCACAGTCTACTCATAGGGTAAGACAGGTAAGTAAGGCCTGCTCATTAACTCATTAATAATGTACAGGTAATGAGCCTGATGGTCAAAACACAGAATGGTAATGCATAAGGAATCAGTTCCTGAGACTGCACAGCTACATTTTTTATGTACTGTATTATTTACTTCAGGATGCTAACCACACTGCACTTTCATAACATGTCAATCAGAATCTTTTTGTGATCTCTTTAGCTTGATATGCTTTAACATTTGCACTTTACCACTTTATAGTAAGATAACTATTTTTTGTAGTAACTATTATTTGTTTTTATTTAACCATGAAAATTCAATAGACATTCAAATATATCATTTTCCAAGGGTGTCCTGGCCAAGAGGCATCCACAATACAACCCTCCAAAAAACAAGATGAAGTCAAATCAAAATAATAAGTGTTTGCAAATGATGATTGAACAATTAACTGAGAAGCATTGAGATTTCCCAAGCATTGAATATTTTGAGGAGCAATGTTTGAATCATTCTTTGGAAATGAAAAGTGTGGGGGACACAGCAAACATGTAGAAGAAGGTGCTTTGATCATATGGGGGGAGTATCCTTCTATGGGACTGCTTTTCTTCAGCAGGGACAGGTAAGACATAGTGAAGTTTGTTTCGAAGATTGATGGAGCCAAATCCAGGGAAATTCTGGAACAAAAACTTGTCATAGTCCCAATTGAGGCTGGGGGGAGATTTACCTTTCAATAGTACAAGGATTCTTAACATAAAACCAGAGCTTTTTAAATTTCATAAAACCTTGGTAAACAAATATTGTTCGTTTTTTTTTTTTTTTTCCCCAAACAATGGAAATGATGTCCACATCTTTTAAGTTTAGATTTTGTTTTTGGGTTGCCAGGTTTAACAAATAAGTAGTTAGGACTGCATTTTGCAGCAAATAGTTATTCAGTTTTGGTGTATTTTACATACTCATCTCAAAATACCGTTAGAACAAATAAAGTTTTTCTTACAAAAGCTTCAGTCTTTCCCAGCTCAGTCCCACCTGGCAGCAGCAGCAGCAGCAGCAGCAGTAGTGGCAGCTCTCTCCCTCTTCTTCACCTGCTTCATAAGCTTCAGCAGGCGGCAGATCTGCCTCAGGGTCATGTTGTGGTCATGGAGGGCCAGGCGAGGCGGTGGCGTGACACGTGGCCCCCGGTATGTGAACATGGACAGGTAGTCTCCTCTCGATGGCCTCGCGTTACCGTGGCCATAATAGGAGGCACACTGTGAGCCAACACACAATTTTGATATGTAAGAAACTATTTGACCAAAATTATACATTATCCACCTTCTAAAGTCACAAAAGTACAAATACATGTTACGCAGTCATTGAACCAACCACACTGCATTTTTACACATTTTGACTTGGTGGATAAGCTGCAGTCTTCTGATCTTAGATGTACAATCTTACTACACAACCCACAGCATAGAAGATACATTTATCACCTGATTGACTGATCGAACACATTTGAGAAGACAATAGGTTTAAGTTATCTGCCTTATTACGCAATAGAAAACACAACAGATTATCTGCATTTGTAAACCTCATTTTCTCTCCACTGCTGCCCTCAACATAATAAGACATAGAGTATAGTTAAAAATGTACAAATACTTACAGGGACAACAAAAGCCATTCCAGAATGTTTAGAAGTAGAACTTAGGGACCTTTATATACTTCCAGTCCTGACCAGATAACAACTTTAACCAATCAGAGAGAAGACAAATGAAACAGATGAGGTCACATGCACACACAGGTTACCCTACACTCATCTCTATTATTAATGACCTCCTTTGTACGGGGATATATTTAGAACAATGTGTAATTCAGGCAAGTAAAATAACCAATGAACCTAAATCATACTAACTTAGCATTATTTTCTAGCAGGGTGGAGGACTTGCTAAAGCAGACCTCTGGAACAGCCTTTAACATCTCAGTCAGTATAGATTGGGAGATTACAGGAATCTACTTCTTGTAATGATGTGTTCTCTATGAATACCCCTGAAGTCCTCAAAGTGTGGTCTGATCTCTACATCCACATGCACACGTCCAAACAATAGTAGGTAGAACTTGGAAAAAGAGATATTTATTTAGATTCAGATTCAGATTCAGAAAGCTTTATTGATCCCAGAGGGCAAATCTCAGAACAGAACACCCAGACTCTACACAATTGCACAGTCAGGCCTCACAGTTCAAGCAGCAGCAGGTTACCAAGTTGAAATAATACAATAAAATACACAGCAATCCTCAAAAGTCAAACACCTCCACCAGAGTTCAACAGTTTTAGAGCAGAGGGTACAGAAGTTTGGGCTAAGCCAGAATACACTTTGCTTTATTCAGCACCTGTTCTCTTGAGTTTTCTCTTGATTTGAGTTTTTTCAAGCTTTCACAATACTTTAATTTAAAAAAAAAAAGAAAAGCTGAGAAGGCATTAATCATAAGAACAGTAAACGTTATAGAGAATTTTCCTGTTTACATAAAAAAGTCAATACTGGTTTTAAAGGATATCATTAACTTCTCATAACTCCATAGTGGTGGTCTGCCCTGGACAGCTGAGGCTTACCCTGGGGCAGACTGACAGGATCGAGGACACAAATCAAACCTTGTATTCAGTTAAATTCCCAGCAGTCTCAGTAGCTATAGCTTGCTTCCACATTATATCATATGGTGATGATCCAAGATCCTCAACTCAACGTTCAACAGCATTTATGAACATTTATCATTATTTATGGACATTGGTCATCTGCCCCTTATGAACTAATGGTCTTGTGTTTGAACTGTTGATTTTCTGATCTGTGTTGGCGTATTCAAAATTGAATTGAGGCTCATCATAAACTGCATTAGGAGATTTATATACCGAGAAAAAAAAGTTAAAACAATACCATCTAAATTTGTTCTGATAAATCATTGCAAAGGATTTCATGGATTTTAAAGATGCCTGCTTTAATTGTGTGCGATGGAACGTCTGTAAACGCATGAGTGGACTGTACCATATTACATATCACTGTCGGGAAGAAAACAATGGAGATAAAACAACAGGACACTGGAGAGGATCAAAAGAGCGACACGCACGCATCATCATCACCAGGCAAACAAACACGAGAAGATGAGTTTGCACTTCATCAATGTGAAATGGGTGATAGGAGACAGGGAGCAGCCTTTACTGTCATTTTATATGAGTTTAGAGAATTTACTTGTATATATTATGTATGGTTTTCAGTTCAAAGTGACAATATTGAGGGCCATTCATTTAGGACAAATGTTTTGTGTATATATTTTCTTTAGTTCGTTTAATATGTCTAAAGGTCCATTCTGTGTGCATGATTAAGAGTTTATAGGATTCTTATGTTAATGTTAAAAATCTGTTTTATTAATCTGTTTTTATTTTTATTTTGACAAGACCCACCTGGAGTCCTGTGTCACATGTCCCAGTAGATTTATTATGATTTAATACTATTTGTCACGGAATCAGTATTTTTTCCCCCTATTTTTTATATAACTAATTTGTATCATCTACAAAATTCTACAAAATCGACTTGAGGTTTTAATCATGTTAGAACCAAAAACAGACAGAGTTGTTTTTAGATCCATCCACGCTAATATCACAAACTTCTGGTTGATATGTCTCTCCAGTCCCGTCTGTCCGTTATTATAATAGATCCATGCGTTTGTCTCAGTCCTGTAATAAAATGATTGTATGATGAAAAAACCACAAAAATAAACAAGACAGCTCCTCCCTCTGGTGGTAGCACAGAGATAGCTCATTTACGTAATTTACCCTTGATACTAGTTCGACCATAAAGTTCTATCGGGATATTATTTCACGTTCTAATACATGGAATGACAAAATAAATAGTCATTATATTTTTTTAAAAACTGTACAGGAAAAAAAAACATACAGGTCAGATTGGACCACAAATTCACGTCCACGTACTCTCCTCAACTCTGCTTACTGTTCAAGTTCTGCAAAACTACTCTGTGCCATAACGCATGTGGTCCTACTCTGCCTCCTGTTGGAAGTTCCCATCCTTTTTTCTCTTCTTCAGGATATATATGCACACATATACTATACTCTTGGTAGAGGCACACATCTGTTTCTGGGAGATAAACAACACGTATCTCCCTGTATGTTTGGCTGATCTCCGGAACAGAATACACGGAATTGAACGCTGCTCGGCTGTATAGAGTTGTAGAGTTGTGCTCAAACAGAGAGTTTCATCTTGTAAAAACTACAGGTTTGTGGAATATAAAACATAATATTGTTCATGTTTGCGCACATATGAGAACCAACAGGGAAAGCTGCCGTTCTAAGGAAGATCATTCTGCACAGTTTCTGTTATCGTTTCTGTTTACATCTCCGAGTTTCCGAGATCACATGAATGCAGCAACACAACAGCCTACACACATATCCGCCCAGTTACATGAACACAATCACAACGCCACATCGTGTAGCATAAAGTTGTAGACTGTTGCGCAAGTATTCAATAAACAAGAGTGTATTTCCCCTCACCCTGTGGAGGTGCACATATAACCACAATCTAAATAAGCTGTCATCTTTGTTTAAGCAAAAAAAAAAAACAACTTAAAAGTCCCGGGCTCCTGTGTAATAACTTTGAGGCGCGCGGGAGTGATCTGCTGTGGTCTGAGTGCAACAGGTGCGTCCACTTTCAGAGATGCTTTCACGGTTACTGGAATTTTTAAAGCGCTCCAAGATGTGTCGTTAAATGCCCGTACGCGAATGGGACTTTAATTGGATTTAAATTAATGTTTGTGTGATTTTTTTTCATAGAAAATACTAAAAAGACGACTTGAAATTTAAAAGCAACATTTGGTCAACCTAAATCGTCTATTATGTGGGTGAAAGTTGGAGAAGTCTCATTGTCCCACCCTTTCAGAGAACGTGAAAGTTTCCTCGGGCCCCGCCCTTGCTGTTGTATCGTCAATCCTGAAGTTACAGGGAGTTTACTTGGGTGTGATCCGTGAGGTAGAAGTCAGTAGTCCGATCAGAGGCTGGAGTACACAGCAGTCTGCCCTCTTTGTTTTTTTTTTCGGGTGGGCGCTCTGAACCTCTGTCCCCATGTCTCCATCCACGTCCCCTCGCGTCTTCACTGAGAGGGAGGTTGCCCAACACTGCACCAAGGACTCCTGCTGGGTCCTTCTGGGCACCAGGGTGTACGATGTGACCAACTTTCTCCGGATGCACCCAGGCGGAGATGCACTTATTCTGCAGCGATCTGGGAAGGACATCAGCCCGGAGATGGAGGGCCCCCCGCACCGGCACTCTGAGAATGCCCGCCGCTGGATGGAGCAATATTACATTGGGGAACTGGACAGAGACAGCAGCTTTGAGGAGGCGCAGGTAAAGACTCCGCAGACAGTGTATGTAAGGTACACACCCAGCTGACATCACTGTTCTATGTGAGCAGGACGCACCTGTTCACATGTGGAGCTGTCAGCGTCGGCTGAGCTCACGGCATCTCATGTCTGCGTTGTTTACACAGAGCCTCAGGGGCCCACAGCAGTGAGAAGATATACCCCCCAGACAGGGATGGGCTTTTTTAGCTTTCATTCTATTCATTCATACATGGCAGCTTTATTTAACGTTCACAACAACAACAACAACAAGGGTGGAAAGTGTGAAGTTAAAACCTTATAGAATATTATTTATGTTGTTCCTGTTTTTTATAGAACTTTAATTGAACCAGGAAAGTCCTAAGAACTTATTTTTCAAGGAAGTCCTGGACAACTGTTATATTGTCTGCGGCATGGATTTATTTTATCTTCTAGGAATAAATTCATAACTAACCAACCCAGGATTAGGATCAATTGCAGTGTCTATACAAATCAAACAACTAAATTCTTGTTATTGCCTTGATAGTGCTTTGAAAGGTTGTTGGCCAAATCAGTTAATTCTTGAGATAATAGTCTATAAGAGATAGACTTTGCCCATGTAGTCTAGGCCTGTTCATTTGTTAAAAGTGGAGCCGATGTGCACCACAGAATAGGCAAAACAGAGTAAAATGTCAACCCACAAGGATTTTCCGCGGGATACACCTGCTGCTATCTTTGTTTCGGACTTGGGATAATCATAGCCAGACAGTGCTTTCTTTTCCAAATGCTTTTAGCTGTTTTGAGGAGGTGGTAAACGGATACGGCTCATATGTCTACAGGTGTAATTGCCTTTGACTAAGTCTTCAGGACCTTTCTGTGACACTCATTGGAAGATTTGTAAGTTTGCTCTCCTCACAAACACCATTGAGTAAATGGGTGCGGTGGGGGATAAATCCAGAGCAGGGCATAATGCTTGGGTAATTTTGATGACAGCAAAGAGTACAGGTGAAGTGTCAGGTGGGGGCTGGGATAGGTGATGATTGTATCTTCTGCTGTTAATGAATGATTCAAGACAAGAGAGGGAGAAACTGGTTTATCTTGTTGGGATACAAGGATTTCAAACAGGACAAATTGGGGAAACTGGAATGTAACTTGAATCCACACACACGTTTAGTCTTTGCTGAAGAGGTAGGGACCTGAAATGAAAGACAAAACAAGTTTGCATAAATCTATTCTGCATTTACATGAGGTGCCTTCTACATATAAGAACTAATAACATTATGAGTCAGACAAAACAGAATTGGAATCATTTTTATTGCCACGCAAGCAACATGAGGTCACAGACATGGACATTGCTTTGGCTCGGTGCAACAGTCAGAGAGAGAGAATAAAAAACACTTCTAAGGAATACATTTAAAATTAAAATTAAAATAGAGTTACGGTTTTTATATAAAACCACACCAGAGGCAGCATTGTCTATTGAGTTTGAATTGAGCAAACTTGTGCTGAAATGATTAATGGAGTTGATACAAAATTCGATTACAAAACACAATTCCAGTTCAATTGCCCCAAAGAATAATTACATTTTCTCATTAACCATGTGACGTACCAAGCACTCATGACTTACTGCTGCACTTGTTTCACACAGAGCTGTTTCCACTCAGCTGGCACGTTTCCATTACCTGCCAGGGAGCCACAAATACCTGCATGGCATTTACGCAGCAGTTTTTGAAGAGGCCACATGTAACCTGTCAGCGTGGCACCTGCTCTTAGCACTGTCACTCACTGTTTGCCATACTGTAGGCCCAGGTTGACAGCGGTAGGCGTTGGCTTGTCATAATTCTATCCATTCATGTGTATTGTTATAACAGAATTGTTACAATCAGGCTGATTATAATGATCTCTTGTGCAATCATGACATGTTCGGTTAATTTAGATCATGTTTTGTTTAAAAGACGCTTGAATCAGATTGTTTTAGACTATCCATGTAGAGATCATTGCTGCTCTACTCAAGATGGATGAAATACTGCATTTATGTTTTTGATATTTTGAAGATATTTCTATTGGATACAAATAAAGTAGTTAATATCTCTAAAAACGTATTCAACGATTGTTCTAGACTTTTATAATTTCTTGAGGAATTTGACGTCCAGCTAAAAGTTGATAAAGTAATTTGGATCCAATCATTTAACTTTCTCCTGTACTATTTTATAGACTTTATACATCAAAGTGCACATTCTCTACTCTGCCTGCCCATCACAAACGGTTGTTATTAAAAAATTAACCCATTTTGTAATCTGCAGCTAATCCAGTGGGTGTTGTCCCATTGTGAAGCGCAGCACACGAACACAATAGAAGCTTATGTTGGTATGAAATTTGGTTTGACTCCTCGGGTCACGGGACTGAGCCATACCCACAGTTGCATCACGTCCATTCCATTTGTTTACGAAATATTTCCCTTGTAATATTGACCCATATCTCAGTGTAATTTAATCATGACAACTGGAGCAAAAAGGTTAACCTCCATTGTGCTGTTGTGAAATGTGGTATTTGTACATTTTTATTAGGGCTGCGTGATCATTTTGAATCAAAATAAAACATTTAGTGGTGGCAATTAGCAAATCACAAGACGTTATATATAATGTATCATATCTTTTTATTTTTTATCTTTTTTGAAAACTAGATTATCAAATCTGTACAAAATGTTTGTATTTATAAGAGACAACCAGAAAATTTGCAATCTGCTTGAACTAAGAAAAATTATATTAAAAGAAGATATTTAACTACTCAATTCAAGTTTATAAACAAGGATTGTGAATACATATATAGAGTAATTTGCTTCACAATCTCAATATCAATACAAAAACTCCCATTGTATTTACTGCAGATGTTAGACCAAAATCATGAAGCCTTATTTCTTTATCACAGAAAGGGCTTTTCATTTAAATTCAAGTTGTGGCACCGAGTCCATGGATGATCATGATGATGAACTCATTTACAATCAGGATTAGTGTTTCATTGGATTAGGATTAGAATTGGCTTTCGGTTAGGTTTTAGAGGTTATGGTTAAGGTTTGTGCAAGGATTTTTGGACTAGGGTTAGGTGTTGGGTTGAGTTTTGGGAAATGTTGGTGGTATGTGTCCAATTTGTAACGATGTAATAGTCCTGTACTCAGATTGTGTTTAGCCCCTGACCTCATGGACCAATCATTACAATACTCATTGCAAAATGCCATCAAATCTAAATGGATTGACATTTCTGGTGTGGCTGTAAATCATTACTGCGTTCACATTTGTCCTGAAATTATGTTGTAACATAGACAGTTTAATTCAAAACTGATTATTAAAATATGTTTAAATGGCAATAATTGTTTGGTCAAAGCTTATACATTTCTTTAACTCACTTATTAGGTCCCCCCTGATTCATGTTTATTTATTTTTACCCAAACCAGCAACGTTTGTTCTCAACTTTGGGCTGGACCTTCCTCAGAGACGAGGTTTACAATCAAACAATGCTTCTGTTTACACCAACAACAACTTTGCTTGAACTGCTTCATTAGAAACTTTCCTGCCGCTCATAGACCACTTATTCCCGTACTGGAGGTATAAAAGACAGGAGGGGACCACGTCAGCCCAGACTCGCACCATATACCAGCTGAGATGGGCTCTGGTCTCCACCAGCCCTGATGGAGGTTAAGTGCTGGACAATGAATAAGTAACTTAATTGTCCAGTAACGGTGACGGGTCTCAATTGATTCAGTCACATCAGTAGCCGTCTCTGGGGACATTACAAAGTTGTCGATTTCCAACACAGATCAGAGAATCAAGAGTATATGAAGGATTTGAATGAAGTGCGTTCAATCAAGAACCTGTGGGGGCGGGTTGAAATGGCGCTCAAAAAACGTCTCTCAATCTTCAAACTAAAAAGTATCTGACCTTACAAGGCAAATTTATTTATGTTGCACCATTTATCCACATTCCACAAGAAAACTGAAAGCGCTTAACAACATAATCATATAAAAAATAGTGAAGCTGCAATCCTTCAGTTGTTGGCACTGCTAAACAGAACTTTCAACTTGGATTTGAGTATTGTCAAAATAGAAGCCTGTCTCAATATTTCAGGAAGACTGACCTTCACTTTAAGTAAATATAAAACCCCTTTGGCGGATTTCTGGGGTTTGTTGTAGTTATTTTGTTCAGATTTCAGTCAATTGTGGTATCATTCAACACTTATAACGCAGTAATTTGTAAAAACATACACTCTTGTACATTATTTGCCTCTAAATTAATTTCTTATGTGACGTTTAACAAAATAACAAACTATGCGGAGGTCTAAGATCGTGGCGCAGCAGAAGACGTGTTTTATTGTCGGTAAACGTTACGAACAAGAGTTTTGCATCGAGCACCTGGTTTTAGAGAAGTCAAAACAAGGACGCTCCTCTCAGCATCTGCCACAGCGTAATTACAAATGTTAACATCGACCTTGAGATAAACACATCAGGTGGAAAATCACTGACTTCTGCCAACTGTTGTAATGACTAAAAATGAGATCCGTTATTCTTCCCACAGTGGGGAAATTTCAGTGTTGTATCACAAGTCACAGTAGGAATAGAGGAGCACACAGAACAAGATAAGTGAACAACAACTTTAGCATATTAAAGGAGCAAGTATAATTCAATTTCAATTCAATGTATTTTTGTACAGCCATTATCTAGCAGGACTTTTCAAAACTTCTTAATTTATTTGCCATCACAAATCAGAGAATCAAACCGTTCAAACACAATAAATGTAATGCTAAAAGAAACACATAGAGCTTTTGGTCCATAAGGAGCTGATGACCAATGTCTGTAAGTGTTGACAAATATTGATGATGTTGTTGAATGTCCTGGATCATCACCATTACCGCATAACAACTCTAACTTTAGCATACAAACGACAAGTTCAGTTTTAACATAATTGCCTCCAAAAGTGTCATCCAGACCTTCTATTTGATGGTGCATCCTGACACGACTGCAGCAGAGGACAGGCT